TCATGAAAAACTGAACTCATTCGTGAATAACACTGTGACCCTAAAAAAATACATGGGACGTTTCAGGCAATGACCCGTCTTCATAGCAGAGAGAGATTTGTTTAATTTAATTTCACGAGTATTATTCATGACGATATACGAACAAATAAATGTGAATCGTACATGAGCGCAAGTCACCCACAGTGTCCGTAAAAGCCGGGTGGCCGCGTAAATAGGTGTACAAAGCGGTGAGCATGGAAGTGGACAAAGTTGCCGGAGCTCAATTGAGCACAACGGTTGTTCAAGAGAATGCCGGCCGACAATCGGCTCCCATTTTTTCCTGCCGCGGGTAGGGATCACAGGGCAAGCCGGGGTCGTTTGCGTGGGTCACTGGCGCACAGCTGGCCACGCGCTAGGTCAAGTGGCTTTTGCCGAGTGCCTTCAATTGAGCACATTTTCCCCACAAGAGAATTCACGCCTCCTGAGTGCCCTAATGGAAGCAATAATCAGACTGGCCGGGCATGTTATTTCAGATTGAAAAAGGCTTCTGCACAGTTTTTTTTATTCCCCCCCCCCAACTCTTTCTCCGCTTTTCCTTTGCAAGTAATGATTTTTTTACACGTCTTAAAATGTTATAATCTGATTGCATTTTTTTGTTGCTTGTAAATGGTGTCAAGTGAAATGATTGGCCCTTAAGAAGTATTTAAAATCGTTTGACATCCGCGTGGTGATTTCTTTATATTTTTTTAAAGCAGTTGGCGTGCTCTCTCTATCTGAAAACAATATCTAGCCACGCACTGTGGAAAATTCGAACGTGTGGCCAGTTTCCGGATAGCTAAGAATCAACGGGATGCTGGGCCTTGAGCGTTTCACTCGTATGGATGTGGCTGCATCATCATCGGTGGCTACGTGCCGATTGAATAAAAAAAATACAAAGATTGCCATTCGCACCGACCACGAATATTGAATCGCGTAAAAGAGCATAAATACATTTTGGAATGAATACATAAATAAACCTGTGCATCATTTGATTTCAAATTGCACCAGTAATTCCTTTTTTTTTTGACACTCAGAAATATTCACGGGAACGGTTCATCCGGTGTGAAGGGACGAGGTGTGAATTCCCAGGTGGTGCTCTCACTCTACCAATTGTAAAGTCCCTGAGTCCACTGACGTTTTTGTTTCAGTGGACTCTCACCTACAGGACTCGAAGCGAAGGTTCATTGATTGGTTGATTGTTCTTTACCTATAACAATAATTAATCGCTTGCTGCGCTGCTCTTGATTTGTGCGGAAAGTAAAGGTGCCCGTCGGGAATGGAAGAGGATGCTAAATAATAAACGTTAAGAAATGTGGCACGTCCACTGTCGTACGATGAACATTATATTCTTAGCTCTTTCGGTAAAGTCACGATGAACATTGTCACGTGCGCCGTTTTGGCATCGCTCGAGCCAGCATAGCCTGTTCAGCAATTTTTGTTTTTGAAAATCACCTTTATTCTGACATCTTGGTTTTGTTTCTGTCTCTTCCGTGACTTTTATTGGCTCTGCATAAACGTTTGTCTGACATTTTAATGGGACTGTAGTCAATGGCTGTTTACCGCCTGTGAGGTTAGTGTTTCCAGCTCCCGTGTTAGAGATAACATGAGATTATGTTCTTGGCTGGGCTTTCTGAGTCTCAGGTGCCCCTTTGTATCATTATGGGGGGGGGGGGGGGGTTGCACTCATTATGAGCGGGAGGTGCAGCGGTTCACACACTGTGCAATGAACCCAGCCAATCTCAGTTCGATTCCCGGCGATGACTGAGAGTAATATCTGAACCAATAGACTTTCCCACCCCCACAACCCCGATTTCACCAACCGGCACTGACCAGTGTGGTGAAGTATGATAAAAAAACTTCCATGAACGACACAGCATGGGTGGAAACCTTCATCCAGCAGTGGATTGACAACAAGGCTGTAGATTACAATTATTGCCATCAATATTATTATAAGGGCCCGTGTATGCAATGTGTTTTACGGCCCAATGAACCTACTTATATTGTGCGGTACTTATCTTTACATGCGTAAGGCTGTGACATTGAGGAGCAAAAAGGAACTTTATAGCGGATAGTTAACTTTGGCTTGATAAGACCAGACAATGGTTCACGTTTGATAACAGTGTCCTGGGATCTTTAATGCCAGGGAGTGGAGGGCACTGTAGTCTTATTTTCCACGTGGCTCTTGATGGAGGGTTTTTGTGGGCCTCGAAACCAGCGCAATGCTGGGGTTTGTGCCATTAGGACTCTCTCCTCAGCGCTGGCACCCTGCGTTTTCACTTTCGGCGAGATACGAAGGCATTGAGGTCAGATGGGCTGAGCTGAGAATTGAAGGTTGGCCATGCTCGCTAGGGTGTTGATGAAATAAAAATCGATGCTCGCGATGTGTGCAATGGCACACGCGTGATATTGTATGCGTGGGGATCTTATTGTTTTAAAACTTACATGAATAACATGTATGTATGTATACCTTCTTTCGCACCGAACGTAGCCAACCCATGCTAACTGTACGCAAATTGAACATGTTATGTATGCATACTCTTTGGTTTTATTCGGTAAAGTCACGTAGGTAAAAAAATAAAATAAAAATGAAAACAACTTAAGTTCATTTTTTTTTAGTTTTAATTAAGTTTTCATTTTATTTTATTTTTTTACTACGTGACTTTACCGAATAAAACCAAAGAGTATGGATTCTTGCAGTCACAAAAACTCCAAATCTAGAATGTTCTGTATGGCTAATGGGCAGGAATGAAACTGTGCAAACAGGAGATAAATACTTTAGAAACAATGCAATTGGTAGATGGTAAAAAAGAGTCAAACAATGATTCTTGAATCGAATGGTGACTCTGAAATTGTGACACTTTCACGGAATTGATGTGTATGTGTTTCATGAACCGTCTTCGGAGTAGGCACTCGCCACAGAGAGCACCGTGAGTGGAAGGTGAATTCTCTTCCAGGCTGAGCTTCGTAGAAAAATGTTTAACAATGCACGTCTGTGGTGTCATTATTGCTATTATATCCTTCGCTAGACATTTTTAGCATTGTGGATAAATTGACGGTAGGTTCCTGAGCTCTCTGTACACAAGTAGCCTAACTCCACCATTAATAGTACTGTAATTGTACTATTAATATTATTGACTATGATCGTACTGACTAAAGTGTTATGAATAGCAAAAAAAAAGGTTGCTTGTCATGTGTTTGAGTTCTACTGGGGTTTTTAATGTTTGTAGGAGTGTTATGATATTGTTATATCAAAATAGACAAACGATAAAAAATATATGCTTTGGCAAATTAATGAATACATTGCTTGCCTGGCCCTCCTTTACTGACTGCATATAATTTGTTTCCCTCTGTTGTATTTGTACTTAGCTTGTCAATATGGTAACAACATCCCACGGAGGCGTTGAGATTTCATTTGGTCTTTGAAATTCCACCTTACAAACGTAAATGCACTTGGCGTTCTCGTTGCAGTATCCACCACGTCTGTTCTATCTTCATTTTTTGGTCGGCTTCGTGAAATAAAGGTCACAACTGAATGAGTCTCTTGGGGCCACCTATGCAGAGACGTTTCGAGGAAAGCGAGAACAAAGGAAGGCGTTAAAATGTATCTTGATTACGATATAATCTCTTTAAAAAAATAATCTCAGCATTGTCTTATTGTGAAGATTGAATGTTTTTTTGTTAATTCTGATGTGGGATTTGTCTGCCGCTTTTATGGCAAGGTGCGGAGTAGTGAGAATTTATACAATTGTCAAATCTCGCTCAATTATGAATTTCATCGTCAGCGAATAACCGCCGTGTTTGCTTCAACACTAAAATGCAGGATTTAGCTCCAATTTACAGGCAGTGGTATAAACAACAACAAAAAAACCTACTTCCTGGAAGATCATCGCTCAAAATTGTTTTCAAATCGTTAATCTTTTACCCCCTTGAAAAGTCATATCGAACGGGATAAAAAAAGAACCCACAAATGCCCGGTGGGGGATGTATAACTTTTAATCGTGAACCATCCCTCAACCGTTGGAGAATGTTGGCGATCTGCAAGAGCGAATGCAACGTGCTTGTGAATGTTTTTTTATTCGTTTCACATTGTTCATTCCCACCTGTGTACGGTTCGGGAAGCGGAACGTCGTCTCGGCTGGCTGTTGCACCGAAAATTTAAATGTGCAAGAGAATTTAAATGTGCAAGAGAGCCGTGCTTCCACAGTCAGAAGCTGTCCGGCTCTCCGCTGTCTGTGCATTCGGGGGTTAAGAGCGCGCGTTGTTCGGCACGGCGAACAACATTTTACTCGTCGTGCTGGGAGCTTCTTCAGGAATTTAACATTCAGGTTCTGGCCCCGTGCTGAAATATTCACTTTCTGTCGAAGCTCGTCAGCACGTGGAGCGGAACGTCGGGTCGTCGGGCCGATTAACGCGCAGCACGACCCGACGACGCGTCGGAGAGCCGCGCAGATAAAAATGCAAACGTGCGTGCCCAAACTAAGTGTCCAAACGCTCGATACCAACCCCGACTTGGGGCGGAGGGGGTGGCGATGCGAGCAAGGTCGCGCTCGTTACACACAGCGCGTTTGCCACAAATGAACCGCAACACCTTGATGGTCTCGTCGAGGAGCATAAACCATCGGACAAGGACGGCGGTCACCGCATCGCGCGCTTTCGGGTGTGCTTCTGCGGCCGTCTGGAACGCTCTTTCTTCCGACATTAGGGAGCCACCGGAGCTATGCACTTTTAAATCGTTTAGATTGAAAACGAATTTCTTTACAACTGCTTTTTGTGCTTAGTTTTTTGTCCTTCCCCCACAACTCCGATTAGCACGGGTGACAACACAAAAGAAGTTCAACATACACACATAACTGAATGCACCTGCTCTGAGTAGGTGCAGGCCTGTGCCCGCTGACAAGCAATGCTTGATGGTTCACAGTTGAACGTCGCAAGGGAGACTAACGCCATCGCACGCTCTCCCCCCCCCGCTGTGTGTCGTGCAGGTTCCGGTGTCCATGGCCATGATGTCCCCTCAAGTGGTGACACCGCAGCAGATGCAGCAGCTCCTGCAGCAGCAGGTGCTGTCCCCGCAGCAGCTCCAGGCTCTGCTGCAGCAGCAGCAGCAGGCGGTGCTCCTGCAGCAGGTGAGGAGTCGGCGCCACTGGACTAGCCCATCACAATGTCGCGCAGCAATACGCTCGCCATCTCGCGCTGCCAAGGAGATGTATCGTGGGATTCAAGGAGGTGCATCGGCGCACTTGCCAGGACCCTGGTCATCGCACTGTAGGCCGCATGGAATCATCGTCATCATCATCAGCCATGATCTATCCACCGCTGGATGAAGGCCTCCCCAAGCCTTCCCCTAACTCTCACGTTCTTGCGATGCAATGTTCGTTTGAGGTGAATCATTACATTCCTAGTGTACTCTCTGCGTGTTACCGTGCTGCATTCTTGTGGATTGGGGGTGTTGTGTATAGCGGACGGCGGCCTGAGTTCGATTCCCAACCACGGGCAACAATTGATAACCAACACCCAATGCTGGGTCTTACCTAGAATCTGCTCAGCATGTGGGAGGTAAGGGGGAGATAAAGGCAGTGGTGTGTGATGCGCTACATATTAACGTGACAGAATTAGGAAAAAGTACACGCCATTGGAAATATTTTCGCATTCATTGGTCAGACTTGAGATGATGAAAGGCAAGGTATTGAGTGTGCAGGGAGCCGCAGTTGCCAGCAGCGCCTGGGGACCAAAGTGGTTGTTTGTCCAGATTGCGGACAACGGGAGGGGCCTGCGATCAGCACTGCAGGAGGGGTGATGAGTAACGCTTCACTGGGTGCAGAGCTTAAGACAAATTTAAGCTTCGGTAGGATTTTTTTATGAGGACTCGAGCTGAGACCGTGTAAAAGGTTTTTTTTTGGGGTGGGGGGGGGGTGCTGCGGAGGTGCTCGCGGTCGTTCCTGTCCAGCTCTCCGCTGTGTTGTTGCTGGGTCGTGCCGGGTATTGTCCGGCACGATGCCTGACATTTCTCTCCACGTGTTGCTATCCGTCTCTCCTTTAATTCTTACGCTTTCGCCTCTCCTCCTTAAACTCCGCTGGCTTCCCGTTTGCTACACCGCTTTCTTTTCAAATACCTGACGCTGGTCATTAAATCTCTTCATGGCCTTGACCCCACCTTATCTTGCCTTTTTCATATCCTTCCGTGTCCCCTCTCGTCCTCTCCGTTCCCAATCTTATCTCCGTCTCTCTCTGTCCCTCCTTCTCCATCCTCACACTCCTCCACAGGAATAAACTTCCCCTGTACATGAAGTAGTCCCCCTCCTTAACCTCCTACCATTCCCTCTCTTAAAGCCTCACCTTGTTTCTCCTGCCCGTTAACTTCCCTCCCCTCGCCCCTCCACTCCTTCCTGTCCCTCCACTACCCCTTTCGTGATCCCTAAGTACCCCTCTATCGCTGTCACTAATTCCTCAATCCTTGTGCATCGCTGCAATCTAAATCATTCCATTCTGTCACCTTTGTGTAAGCTATGTCAAGGGCCTTGAGTGAAGGCAAACCATAAATATAACTTGATTAGATTTTCTGGGACTTGAGTTGCTGCAGAAGCTCCCAGCACATGGAGCGAAACGTCGGACATTATGCCAAGCAGCGTGCAGTACATCCCAAAAACACATCGGATGGCGACTGAAGAAGTGGTTAAGTAATGGCTACAATTTTAAACTGCTCACGGAAAATTGTGAAAAAAAATTCCAGCACAAACATTCAACACGTAAACATCTTCAAAAGGAAGCATATAACACACCACGGGCTACATTTTTCACATAGATGCTCCGTTTTCAAACCCACTGGGAAGGGTGCCCGTGCTGGTGAGATGTTAACTCCCTCGCCTGGTATACATGAGATTGTTTGTTTAATCCCTACCCCGACGCCTGCATATTTGGAGTTTGCATGTCTCTCTCCCCATGGTGGTGTGAATTTTTCTCCCGGTTTGCTGGTTTTTCCCACTACATTTAGAAACACGCGTGTAAAGTATTTGACTGCTATAAATTTCCATTTGATAAGCCACTTCGTTGAGCTATCAGTTGTGGCTGGGTCATCTTCTGATAAAGAGCTATACAGCTCAGTGGACCTTACCCGTTACAATAACCAAAAAATTGTAAATAGGTTCGTAAATAGAGCCTCTCACAAGTCCATGTCAGAGCTGTCCTGCTGACCTGACACCCAGGTGGCCCATGAAGCGAGTTCCCAGAGTTTCACTCTCACAAGGGAAGCGCGCCTTTTTGCCCCTGGGCCAACCTCTGAACCAGCCGCGGCGAGACGTCACGGCGTCGGTGTGCGAAACGTTGACGCGCGGTCGCTGAAGAACACGGCACTCGGAGCAACTTCCGTGGCTGCCTTTTGCGTAAAATAAATGAAGGAGACCACGGAACCGATGGGTTTTCGGTTTCGCGTGCCCTTAGCCCAACCCAAGCGCCGAATTAAACGTCACGTGAAAAGGAACCTCTTCGGAGAGGGCCCAAGTGAATGGAGCATCATGGCTCGTTGAAGTGAGGAGACGTGGCTTGGAGCCAAGTTTTTGATCGTGGAAAGTAAAATGGGGCCATTGCTGGGCAGACGCAGCCTCTGGTTTTCCCTCCCAGCGGTGGTAGAAATGTCGCAAAAGACAGGCGCTGTTGGTGAGCACCCACAGACGCTTGCTCAGTACACGGTTAGGTGATGAGGTCAGTGGCGCATAGGTCCAGGTGGCTTTGCCTCTCCAGTGCTGATGCAGTCGCAACGAAAAACACCAGGCCTACACGTGACCCAAGTCAGCGTTCACCAGCAGCGCTTTATGCGTCCAGGAATCCAACGTGGCTTCCTGGAAATATAAGACAACATGCTGAGCATTTAAATAATGCTCGCCCACACACAGACAAATCCAAATACAGACTCGCATGCTCACACGCACGCACACTTGCATGCACGGACGCACACATGCACACTTAAGAACACACGTACTCGCATACGCACGTCCGCTCTCACATATATACATGCATGCACATATATAAATACATCATCATCATCTCCTGTACAGCCATCCAGATTTTTAAGTGCTGTTAGTGCGCACCTATAAAGATCAGTATAGCATACAAAGAGGTAGCATTGCGAGTCTACTTAAGAGAGGCCCAGGACAAATTCTGATACCAGTTGCCACTGATGTTAGATGGGGTAGCCAGGTTGGTCGTACAGTGTGCCTAACTACTGCACCACTGCCCTCCACACACAACAAAATTCGCCACATAGCGCCTGTGCCAGGCTAGGTTCACTTTGGGGCCACGTGAAGCCTGCCGCAGACTCGCTGCAGGAGGTCACAACACGGACCCAGGTGCCATGGCTTGACTGTGGTGACTGGGGGATGCACCACCTGTGCTGCCCACTATGCAAACATGCTGCGCTGTGTTTCCCCGGCGTTCTGCTCGTTGTTGTGAGCGTCGTTCCTCCATCCTCCATTCGGCAGGGCGACTCGTTCCCCAACTGCCCAGTAAGGAAGTCGCACACGCAGCCACGTGCACTGCTGAGTTCAGATTCAATTCGGCCGTTGTGCATTTTCACTCGCATTGTGGCCAGGACAAACGCCGCTTGCGAGAATGGCAGGGCACCTCTCCGTGCTTCAGCGGGCCACTGATGCAGCATCAGTTGAGTGTTCTCAAAGCGTTTTATCTGATTACTGACAGCGTTTAATCTACAAAACAATGCTCCATCTCGCTTGAGGGAGCTGGCATGTGTCCTCCTACATTAGGAGATACAATTTTGACACAGGTTAGCTAATCTACTTTATATATTACAGTGATGTGTATGTGTATATGTGTTCCCCACCTCTGGTATGATAGCATAACACGAATTTGTCTGTATATGTGTGTGCCCCAACAGTCTGCTCAGTCTAAAATGGGCGGATCTTTAGTCTTTTTCTTTGTTTAGTATTATGTGGCTTTAATATGTGCTTACTAAACAGCACTCACCCCAACAGTCCATATGTACGGCTATCCGGGGGCCTTAATAGTCTGTGCGGCTATACAGAGGATCTTTGGCTTTGTCATCATGGTTATTACTCAGCACTGCGGTCTGTGGTGACCTAGGTTTGATTTTTGTTCGGCTTGGCCAACATTATTGCATGGAGATTGCAATCGGAAATTGTCCTGGTAGGCTCAGCTTCAGGAGCATACTGACCTTAGATAATAGGCGCTCGCTAACGGTCCTTAGCCCAGCGGCATTACTGACTAAACTCTGAAGCTACGGGAAAGGCGAGCACTCTAGAGGCATTGCCGCGGGTAATTTACATTTTTTATTTTACCAGGTAAGGCCCACAAATAATAGCACAGCGAAGTGGCTTAGCGCGTGGATATTTATAGCGGCAGCCAAATGTTTCTAAATGCGGAGGGGAAAACCGGAGGACCCGGAGGAAAATTCACGCGAACCACGGGGAGAACACGCGAAACTCCAAATATACAACAGGCGTCAAGGTCGGGATCAAGCCCGCGACTGCCTGCGTACCACCGCACAAGGCTGTGCCTGTTATAAAAGTAACCTCAAATTTCAAACGCATTTTAAGTTTCTAAAAACGAACAACAATTGCATCACGCCACTCTCTTCTTTTGTTTTGTAGGCTACCGGCAATTACAGCGCGGCTTACGCGTTCGAATGCCGCTTTGTGGAAAGCACTGACAGCACACCCATGCGTGACTTCAGAGGTGCATTCACGTGTTTTGTGTACCGGAACACAATGCCATTGTGGGAGCCTAGTCTCGCGGAACAAACAGCATCAAACTAGTTGCTTTTCTTCGAGAGGATTTTCTGTTGTCAAATTCTGAAAATGTATACATCAACGTCAGGCATTTGTTTTTCCTCTTCTTCTTCCTCTTCCCCTCCTTCTCCCCCTCCTCCTCCTTCTCCCCCCAAACCCTGTTTTTGAAGGAGTTCCCTCAACAAAACTCCACGAGTGTCGATGCCCGACCTTGCGCGAGCTTCGTGACGTTAGAACGTCGTGGCGGTGGAAAGGGCGAGAAAACGTCAAAACTCCGATCGGAGTTGTTTGTGCCTTAAATATACCAAAAACAAAACCTTTCAGAGCTGTTACGTTGAAATGTGAGTTTTGATAGCTGTGACGGACATTTTCTTGGAGAGGGAGAGAGAGAGAGAGAGAGCAAAAAAACATTAATGCAAGCTGTCATGCATTAGGCCATTGAGGAAGACACACGCTCAAAATCTTGAAACACGTGAAAAGGATTAGCCACATCAAAAAGGGCCGCGTCTGTGTTATTTTTCTCTCACTATTTGGATTGACATTAAGTCATTTACGAGTGGAATTCATTTAATCTCGTCCTGGCAAATTTCCGGCTGTTTTGTTGTAGTGACAGCGCCGCCGTTAGGAGTAACTCTTTCCGCGCGTACCCGGGAGTTGGGCCACAATGGCAGGGGTCACGTTGGGCCAATCTCACACGGGTAGCCTTCTCTCACCGAAGCCGAAATCTGGAATACAAACATATATATAAGCCAACAAATTGTATGGCTGTAACGAATTCAAACTGCTGGCCGAAAAAAATACTTTCAGGTGATGCAGAATTTCACCTGTGGAAAAAAAAAAGATACCCCATTTTTTTTAAAACACAACTCCGTGTTTAGAAATAAATGAACACAGCGGTAGAACGACTGTTCATTTACATGTGTACAGCTATGGTTAGTATTAAAAAAAAACACTTATCCTTAAGTCATTTAGACATCGGCACCATTTCATTAATGGTATTGCACTGAAAGATTCAAGAGGGTTAAAGCCACCAGGGAAAATATGTGTCGGGACATCAACAGTTTAAAGGACATTTATAATTTATGTTTATATAATTTAAATGCCGCAGAGTCCAAACATTTTCCAATTTTGCCTGGGGGGAGAGAGACTATGTTCTCGCATAAGGAGCTGCACTTTAATGAAGGGTTCAGGCTACAATCTGAAAAACATTTGCGAAGGAAAGGCGACGCTGGGTAGAAATCGCTCGGCGGCTGACTACGGCACCCGTCAAAAGTGTGGAGCGGGAGGCTGATCTGAGGCCCGGCACAGAGGACGGTGTGCTGTAGGTCGGCGTACGCGTACCGTCCGCAGGACGACGACAACTTCGGCGTACGCGTATCGTCCGTGAGACGGGTCCAGACACACAATCATATCACGCTTACTCCTCTCGAAGATCACTGTTTGGTTGAAATTCACCAATGCAAATGAGACGTCACAAAAATAAAATTGTACTTTTTCTTTCGGCTGTTGTACCATCCTTTTACGCACATAGTGGACAATAGCATATTAGATACATATTTTGTATGACGCTGGAACATTTTTTTGCTACTGTAATTTGCGTCCACTTTTTTTTTACTCCAATTCTGCTGTCGGCGTGCCGTTTTGATGAATTGTCAATTCGTAACTCTCGAAGAGCAGTGCATCATCCTGTGTTAGATGAGGATTCGTGGAAGCTGATATCACAGAACTACTTTGGAGATCCCTTCATGTCATTGCCTTACCCACCCTCCCATGTGCTCTGCTTGTAGATTATTGCACGCAGTAGTCGAACCAAAAATATAATGTTTAAAATTCTCATCGCTGGAATGTTTCTGAGCCAACGCGGCCACCTTTTGACACTGGCGCTTTTCTTCGAAATTTTGTTTAATTTTCTCTTCGTGTTTATTGTGTTTCCCTCTGCCCAGCAACAGCTTCAGGAGTTTTATAAGAAACAACAAGAGCAACTCCACCTTCAGCTCCTGCAACAGCAGCAGCAGCAACAGCAACAACAGCAGCAGCAGCATCATCAGCATCACCAACAGCATCAGCAGAGCAGCAACAAGCCTTCGAAGGAAGTATGTCCTTTTTTTAAATAATATTTTTCATTGGGTTTTTTGTTGTACAGAAGATCGGAGGCCCGTAGCAAAGCCCTGGTGACACAAAAACAACCCTGTGCGAGTATCCGCCAGGACTATGTACCCGACGGAAGTACCTACTTTTTTTCAGTGCACACCATCTCATTTTAGTTCACTAGCGGCTGCTAGAATGGTAGTTGTTGTTTTTTTTACCACGAGTGTCTGCATGTAGAAGGTATATATACGGATCAGGATTTAAATGTATTAATCACTTAGATGCAGAAGTATCTCAAAGCACTCTGTAGCGCACACCAAGAAAGATTTGACAAGAATAGAAAAAGGGGAACCATGCAGAACAATAAAAGAATGACGGAATTTGAGGAGTTTGAAATGGCAAAAATTATAACGCCCATGTACAAGCTATAGAGGGGTAGAAAAATACCCCAAAAAGTAAAGATGCACCGATTGAATACTATAGAATGTGGCCGATCTCAATACACACACACACATCGTGTGTGAGATGTGGTCACATTTTTTACACTGCTATTTAATTGTCGTGATGATGTAAACCTTGACGAGTCTTCTAGTGGTGTGCGTGGTGTACTTTAAACCTGGCTACCTCAGTTTGATTCCCAACCAAGGCTAACATCAGTGTCCATTATTGTCTATCTCCTTTAATGAATACCTGGTTCATTGTGTAACATTGGCACTGAGGTGACAAGCTGTCCACGTTGGCCTTTAATAAGTGCTCGCGAACAGCACTTGCCCCAGCAGTCTATATGGTTATACGAGCAGTCTTCGCATTTGTGTGTATGTGTATTTGTCTATGACTGTGTGTGATTGTGCGTGTGCATATACAAGCAAGTGCATATCTATGTATGAGCCACTCTAGAAACATCATTCATGCCTGGTTGATTCTCGTGACATTCAACCGGCAATAATTATTTCATTTTCTAAATCGTTCATCGTGGACCGTAATGACCAAGGTTTCGCTTACAGGCACTCAAGCTTGGGCACTCATGAGATTTTAATATCGAACATCTTATTTTCACAATTTTCCTCCTTCATTTCGCTCTCTTCCTCTCCTCTCTTCCTGCTCCATCCCCCGACCACCACTTTTTCCCTCCCCACCCCGCCACCGCGTCTTCCTACGGCGGCGGTTGTTTCTGCGTTATAACGAATGGCCACGAACATAGTTCACGGCTTGTGATGGACAAAGCACTGATTATCCAGCCGTCAAGGCTTGCGAGGATTATGGCCCTAGTTCCCTCCGCACGTGTAAATTTAGCCCCCCAGCACGATTGCACGGCCCACCTCGCTGGCACAGACGGCACGTGCGCTCGCCATGCACGCACGGACGCACGCACGCACGCACGCACCTGAATGAGCACGGCCCCTGCACAGCCGCCCCGTCGGTCGTCCCTACTGCCGCTCCCCGTGCCGAGGATGCACGCACACGCGGGTAATCACGTGCGCGCGCACATACACACAGGTTCCTGCTGTTTCACATGGAAAAGCGCAGAGGCGTGCAGGCCTGAGCTGCTGGCTTCAAAGTGGCTGGCCGGGCCTGATTAATGAAGTGCTAGTTTCAGAGGGGGGGAGGAGGGGTGGGGGAAGGGGGGGATTTTGGGGGCGGAAAAAAAATCAGAGCCCCTACCTGGACTAACACAGCGACACGGTCATAAATCAACCTGACAGAGACTCGAGCAAACCCACCCAACCCCCCTCTTCGTCCCCCCTGCCCCCAATCCAGCAAGACACCCCGCTATGCCTTGAAACCCTCCAGCACACCTGCATGTTATTTATATCCTATGTACACTTACACGAGCGTGTGCTCTTCAATGTGTACGCGTCACAGTAGCTGACACCACGATGTGGCGCTTTCCCGAGAAATTTCTGCTTTTTAAAAAGTGTGTTTTATGTGTGTGTGTGTGCGCGTGCGTGTGTATATATATGGACGTGTGCGTTTAGACACGTGTATGTGTGAAGTAAAAAAAAAACTTTTGCCTGTGCAAGCAGTGTTCAATATTAAATTGTAAAAAAGTTTTTTTTGTTATATATAAAAGCGAATAGCTGATGGGATTTTTAAATTCCACTGAAGGATTTTTTTTTTGTATGGGTTGGGTGATGTGGGGAGGGGGGTGGGGTTTGGAAATGAAGACTGATTTAAAAACATTCAAATCATATGATAAAAAAGATGCATGCCAAAGTGGGGGGAAGAAAGAGGCTCAAACACTTTTAACAAAATGTTGAAGTTCGCTGGGAATTCTCCTGCCAAGAATCTCGCTCAGACGTTTAGCCGTCGCTCCCAGGTGCCTAATTAGGCATTTTCCGCCGAGTAATAATCCATTCGCTGCGTGCAAAAAAAAATCGAATTTACCAAACGTCCCCCCCCCCCACCCCATGTACGTGAGCGAACAGCCGCGAATAGCGGTAGAGAGAGAGAGACAGAGAGAGAGAGAGATGCATTGAAGGGGAAAGATGGAAGACGTCTTTTTGGTTCGGTGGTGGTTTGGGATTTCAATGATGACCGTCCGTGCCACTTGGGCTTGCTTCTGCTTAGTGCTGCTTTGGAGCAACAGCCAGCAGAAAATATACAAATGGCCGACGGAAAACCGTCAACACCGTCTTGTATTTTTTTTTCTCCTTCGAAAATAAGTTTTAATTTTATTTTAAAAAACACACTGCACAGTCACCGTAAACATCTCCTGGCACGCCAGGGGTCCGCTGCAGCTCCCGTTTGGAAAACTTGACATTTCTCCACACGGTGTTTATTTCCAAAACAAAGATGATGGTGTGGTTTAAAGAGAGTGGTTGTGCCCATCGTCCGGCGTGCACATGGAAAAAATATGAAAAAATATTTATACGTTTGAAAGAGCAACGGGCTCCCACTTTTAGTATGTATAGTGTTTTTTTTTTCTTACGTTAAAACCCATAGAATAATAAACAAATCCGGCCTACATTCATAATCCTTGAAGGGCAGAGGAAACATGCCGTGGGGTTCAGAAACTCGGCAATATTCACAATCGTGTTGGTAATGGATTCTAAAACTTACCTTTCCTTCCCCCCATTTTTCTTGAAATACCTCCTGTAGATAATGGCGAAAATCTTTCCCTACCTTCGTGGCCCAGTTTACATTTTACACTTGGCCCCCTAACCTGAACAGTTAGTCTTAACAGCTGAGTCTATCGGCAGGTTACTCGCGTCGATGAAAAGTGTAGCGGTTACCCCTCACCCCGTCCAAGATGTCTGGCCAGCATGGAAGAGAAGGCCAAAATACCCTGATCCATAATTAGTTTCCTTTGGGTGTACATACAATGTTAATGTGAGCGATAATTCTCCAAAAACCCGACAGAGCCAATCAAATCAAGTTGTCACGTGAGCAAATATGCCAATTGATTTGGTTTCTTAGCAAATTGAAATGTTGAAAAGCAAGCAAGGTTTTCACAATTTTATACAAATTATATACAAGGACAATGTGCTTGCTTTTCAACATTCCTCCTATGGTTTAATGAAAAACCAAATCAATTGGCATATTTGCCCACGTGACAACTTGATTTGATTGGCTGTGCTGTTGGTGGTGAAGGATTATAGCTAAAAACTGACATTATACCTACACATACTAACCCAAAAGAAACTTAATTACAAACCATAATATTTGTCGTGAAAGTCTACGTCTGAAATGAACCAAAACACCCTCCTCCGGATCTCCTTATTGTGAAAGCCCTTTCTGGCAGTGGTGGCTTAACATTTACTTACCCGAATATAAGAATAGGGTTTTTCCCCTTTTTTCTGGCAACAAAACTGAAACCTTTTTACAAGGATTCATATCTGCATTAACCACAATACCTGCAGTCAAAATGCAAAAAATAACATACTATGATAATATATGCATTGTCCTTGAAACTGATTGGTCCACACCAAGGGACGGCTTTCTTTTGAGCCTCGACCCAATTGGTGCTTTTGGCGTCATCTGGTTGAGCACCAATTGGGTCGAGGCTCAAAATAAAGCCGTACCTTGGTGTGGAGCAATCAGTTTTAAGGACAATGCATATATTATCATAGTATGTTTTTTGTTTGCATTTTGACTGCAGGTATTGTGGTTAATGCAGACATGAATCCTTGTAAAAAAAGTTTCAGTTTTGTTGCCAGAAAAAAGGGGAAAAACCCTATTATTACATTTTGGTACTGGCAAAGGAGGTCTAATGATTTACTTACCCATTCGCTTCTGGTCTCAAACCAGGACTCACAAGCTTTGCGTTGAAGTGCCGACCGACCTTGATACGAGGTGCACTTCCCATTTGCCGCTGTCTCACGCAAAGCCACCACGTTTTCTTTTTTCCCGGAGGTGTCGGGATTAGAACCTGAAATCTTTGAGATGCCAGCGCCCGGGGGGCGTGCTGACCGCCACGCCGCGTCGGGCCGGAGAGCTAATGCACACCATGGGGGAACGAATGAACATCGTGGGAGCACTTAGGAACAACAGCAGGAAGCATCGCGTCCGGTCCAGTGAATCACTTGAACAGAATACCCCCCCCCCCCTCCCTTTTATTGTTGTTCGGGTTGTTGTTCCCAAGTGCTGTCTCGTGCAGTTCACGAGAATGGGAAATGTATTCTCCAAATGCTGCGCCGCTACAGCTGCGTAATTGCGTCGCCGTGCGGCGCGGCGTTGATGAATAGAGCGCACGGGTAAGCGGTAATATCTGGCGTTCATAGTGGATATGTTACTTGGAAGAGCTGATTGAGAAATATTTTACGTAAATACTTTGGAGAAAAAAAAAATATTGCATCCTATATCCGCCACCACCACCACCACCTGTGAGATAAATACATTGTAATTATTATATTGATAGCCCTGAACTCGTTTAACCTTTTATGCCGTGATCATTGGAGAGCCTCCCTCGCAAGCGAGACCATTGTCTTCGAGGGCTGTCATCCGATTTATGAATTAGGTTAATGCATGTCCTGTAGTTTAGAAACACATACATTCTGTGGTTCGGAGCGGTGGTACCAGTTGTCAGTGCACCACGTTGAAGATCTGATAACCTGAGTTATTTATTCACATAATAATTATAATTTGCTCCACTTTACCCCTCCACTGCTCGTTGAAGGCCTCCCATGCCGTGTTTGTCATGAGGGTCGTTTGGCCATACTTGATTTTATAATCGGTGTGGTCATTCGAGCTACGTGCCCTCCACCACCCGACAAAGCCAAAAAAGAAAGTTGCCACATGGGCAATATATTCCAGTTTATGATGTTTTTCAGCAAACTGGTTACGTTGAAAAGCAAGCAAAATTTTGACGATTTTCATACACCGTGTAACATTGTCACGTCTATGATATTATAACTGTGGTCTTGAAAGCCTACATATGAGATTGGCCTTACTTCACCACGCTGGTCACTTCGGTTTGATGAAGGGAGGGCGGTGGGGAGGTGCCCAAGACCGGCGGTGGATAAAACTCGCCACCGATGTTGGCTGCATCAGGAGAATCGAATTCGGGTCATCGGGTTCATAGCATGGATGCGCTACCCACTGCACCCACCACTCCACCTCACAGTATGCATTCCTGTATTTTTAAAACACAGGGTAGCCATTTTGTACTATAATTGGCCCGTAAAAAAAAACAGCACTCTGCTCTTCACATTTCTGTCAATGCAATCCTTATTCCAACGTGTTTATTAAGGAGGTGCTGATGTGGCAGCTGTAAATACCGAAGCGGAAATCTAATTCCCCCGCGGGATTTCTGACTCTGCAGCATCTGGGCGCACACCAGCTGGCGTTCCAGCAGCAGCTCTTGCAAGCTCAACAGCAGCACCACCTGATTAACCTACAGCGCCAAGGACTGGGGCTGTCATTGCCAGGGCAAGGCTTGTCTACATTAGCCCAGGGTGAGTCTCTTTTTATCTACGCCAGCTATATATGTGTGTGTGTGTTCATGTGGAGGTGTGTGTGTGTTCATGTGGAGGTGTGTGTGTGTGTGGATCCTCCTGAGATATTTGATGATATTTGTGGTAGTTTTTCCCAAAGTTAGTAAATGTCAATTTTAAGGAGAAAGAAAGACCCCCCCCCCTCCCGCCGTCCTATAACATTGTTTGCCTGCCATGGTGTAGTGGTTGGCACGCTGCACTTTCAATTCAGAGGTTGCCGGTGCGATCTCCCGGTGCGGCAGTTGAGGCAATGTTGCAAAGCTCCCCAATTGGTCCTCGCCTCGGTGCAGCCAACAAGTCTCCAAGTAGCACGGCAAAGCGAGTCAGTCTGCAGGTTGCGTGCGGTGGGTGTAAAGCGTGGGTATGCTTTCACTTCTTCCGAAAACGTCTGGCCGGCGCGGGTGAGTAGGCCGCATATCCACTTATAGGGGCTCTCCAGAGCTCCTCCGTAGTGCAGGCCCTGCCACCAGCAGTGGCGTGAGCAAGCACTTGCCGGACTGCGCCACTACCCGTACCTATGACATTGTTATCTTTACCAGTGCAAGAATTAGCGTGAAGTGCGTATTAACAACTTCATTAAAAGTAATAACAAGGTTTGATCTATACTATTACTGAGATGAGAGAAAGATCACCGCAGCGTGGTTTTCTGAATCTGGCAATGTCAAGATCTTCATTTCCTCTCGGTTCCTAAAGAAAAAAAGAATAACCCCACCCCGTTATTATTTTTAATTCACCCACTTTTTTTTGGATTCATTGTATAAGTTCACCGAAGCAGTGACTTCATAACTTCTGGTATGCATTCGCTTTTTGTCTCGAATTAATATTATTATTCCTTAACAAAGAACAGGTTAGCGAGCGAAAGAAAAATAAAACCAAGGAGGATAAGCGAAAGGAAATTGTGTGTTTAAAAAAAAAAACCTCACTACTGTAACATTAACATCTCTTTCAGGTCAAGCATACATCCCATCGTAAATACTCTTTTTTTCGTGGCACCGAGGTTTTCAAAACATTTTGTTCCTCCTGCTCCCAGCGATGCTCGATCCTGCCTCTCCGCCTTTGCTTGTGGAAACTCTTTCCGCGGCCAACGTACGCAATGTGTCATTGCGCAGCTGCGTTAACAGCCCCGGTGGTAAAAAAAAAGTAAAAAAAAAATTCCTCTCCTTGTTGAGTAAATCTCGCCCGGCGGATGGATGAAACGTAGACGTGAAAATAATAAAAATGTTTTCGACGTGCCGTGTTCATTTTGTGCGAGTGATTTTTATGTTGATGTTAAACGTCTCAACACTTGATGTTGTCGGTTAGTTGTTTCGGTATTGCGTCGGGCGTTTTCTAAGGTTGCCTTGCGTAATGAATGGGAAAATGTCTTTTTTAAAAAATACCTTGTATCGACGCTTTTGTTTATGTTAGAAATTCCAGTCTTTTTTTTTAAACCGTCGCAACGTTAAAATGTTTTTCACGCACTGTCATGGTCTTATGCTTACCCTGTCTTCCTACACTCTCAAGACCTCCTTAAGCTCCAACATTGAGCGTACGTACGTCTCTTTCAGTTAGCGCATTAGGCCATGTTTGTTAATGATGGTGATGAACTTGGTTTTTTTGCTCGCAGACGCAATCGTTCTGTGTACGCAAGCACAAGCATGTCCTGCCACGTGCATCACAGGCACGGTGACAATGCATCTCAGCGCCGTGTGCTTGTAGTTCTGACCATAAACAGATGCCACGAACAGCAAAGCCCTCACTGCTCATGTCAAGCCTGAAATTGAATTTTACCTCTCAACTTCTGCCAGTTCATTTTTAATCCAGGAAAGAGCCTTGCTGAGTCTCGTGACCCTATTTCGGGAGGGTCCTGTTTGACATCTATCCGTTTTGTCTGTTTGTGCTCTCAGAAAAATGTAGGGTTCAGAGGTTTACGTGAAGTTTTTTTTTAATCTGTAAACTTTCATCCAAGAGGCTTTTCTTTGGAGGGCTTTTTTACTTAGCTGGAAACAATGGTTATAATGATGCCTCATTTGCCAGGATTGTTGGCTGATTGGGGGCTCCTTATTCGTTTTTAATTGACTGTTTTAGAAATCTGGAGGCCCGTTATTAACAAAAAAAGACTGCGGATTTTTTGTTGTTGGTATAAAGTCATGAGGATTGGTCTGTAATTGTAGAAATGTTAAGCCTCCAAATCGGGCAATACTTTCCGTTCATTCCACCGTTGGGTGGCACACTGTGTACAACATTGCTCTGCAGAGACAAATATCCCCCATCGAGTCCTCTTTAGGCCGTCGGGGAAAGTACGGCATGTTCAGCGTGCAAGGCAGCCGTGTGGCCACGACCATTGCCTGGCTGCTTTAGCGGTCTTACCAGTGCTGGCGTTTACGCACTGCACCAGGCACTCGCTTAGGGTTCATTCCACCCAGGGGAAGCGCGAACACCGGTTCAGACATTTGTCACTGATGTTGGCCACGAGTGGGCAATTGCATTTTGGGCTGCTGGTTTCGTAGCACAGTGGGCTAACCGCTATGCAACCGTTCCGCCATACACAAACAAAGACATACAAATGCTCCGTACCAACAAACTCCCAAACATAACTTCCAAACTCATAACGTTCCAAATTTTTTTTTGTTCTAACAAAATTTTCCGCAATTATTAGCACGGTTGCTGTGTGAAACCAGCGGCTTGTCAAATTCTCGGCCTCGGCTGACACCAGCGGCAAGCGATATCTCAGCCGGTTCTGAGCACCCACCCCTTGACCAATTCAAATTGATGAGCGTGGTGAAATTTGGCAATCACTGCCTCCGCATGCAAACACAAACATGGGTATGCCTTCATGCAGCGGTATATCGGCAAAGGGCTGTAAATGGTTCACTTTGTAAGCAATGATGAAAATGCCCAAGTGTGCAAGACACGAAGTTTACAGTGCCTGTGGCTCTCTCCCAGTCGTTCTTTATTAGTTTATTATCGTTAATTATTTGGTATTTATTTACGTTACACGTGAGTTTGTCTAATGATCTTTCGCTGTGGAACCTGCTGATAGTATACCGCACGGGCACCCACGCACAGAGACAAAGATCCCCCTGTATAGCCTTAACATACTGTTGCGGCAAGTACTGTTTGCGAGCACCTATGAAGGCTGGCACGGCGCACGTCACACCAGGGGTTGGGCGGCCAGCACCTTTGTCTCCCCAGTGGCGATATTTGCACACCGGACTAGGTAGGAATTTGAGGTTGAGTCGACCTCAGGGAGGCCCAGACCTGTTCAGATAATCGTCACCGGTGTTGGCCGTGGGTGGCAATCGAACTCGGGTCACCAGCTTCATAGCGCAGCGCGATAACCGCTACACCACCGCACGCACACACGCACACACATAAGCGGTTGCCTTCAGGTCCAAGCGGCCGCATGCGGTGACACGCGCGAGGGTGCAGCGCGGGTGAAGCAAAAGAGGAAGCAGGGGGGGGAAGCGCTGGGAAGTGCGAGCACGTGCCCCCCTTCCCCCCCCCCCCGTGCCCCCCCCCCCCCCCCCACCCTCCACGTGCGAGCGTGTTTACGCATACGAGCGCGCGCACCTTCGCCGGTCGGCGGGGCACGCGCCGCTGTCCGGCGCCGTTGTTTGTCACAGCGCCGTTATTTGTGGGGGTGGCGGCGGAGACCCCCTGGGCTCTGTTTGCCCGCGGCGGTGGCAGAGCGGGCACCTCTGGCCATCGGTGTTGTTGGCAGCGTCGTTGTGTTTTATCTTTATTATTTCCTCTTTCCCCCTTTTTTTTTCCTCCTCTCTCTCACACACACTCTCTCAGCTCCCGTCCCTCCCTTGATCAAATATTAATCAAACGCGGCCCGGCTGGTGCAGCACCTTTCCTAAGCCATTAGCGGCTGGGGCTCCGCTGTAAACTCGTGGCGCTGTGCTGTAATTAGCGGCTGGCCGTGGTGCTGTCAAGCGCCCGGCCAATTTGTTTGGAGACATTTCACCTTCAGACGTCGGGAGGCGTTTTGCTAATGGCCAAGAGGGCCAGCGCGGGGCCACGCAACTCCTGCACACGAGCTCCACACTTCATTAGGGGCTGTAACAGCTGCGGCATCCTTCCCCCTGGCCCCCCCCCCCCGCTCTACCCCCCCCCCCCCGCGCAGCCAAAACTCCCACCACCGCCCTCGCCAAACCCCATCGCTAATGGGCGTCCCTATCCGGGGGATGTGGAGGTGCTATGCTCTTGGGCAGTTTAATAAAGGCCAGAATAAATATCATCCTGCTTTGTCCGTAAACAGTTCAGTGCGTGGCATTTAACAAACAGGGTAATGCTGCTATTCCGCGTTGAACATACAAGCCGAATGAGTATTTTATTTGTTTTATTTTTATTTCTCTCTCTCCATCGTAAATTGCATGTGCTGAATTTAATCTGAGGGCATGTTTAGTGATCACGCGTTTAGTTGTAGTCTCCCATTATAATTGTGGTGTGATATTGTTTTGAGTATAAATTGCAACAGATTGCTTTTGGGTATTTTTTAATGATATATATATCAAAGTTTGCTTCTTTAATTACGGTGAGCTTCTGGAGATGCACTGCTTTATTTGTGCAAGTCCTCCACTCATTCCCAAGTGCCCATCTCGTGTAATTTGTAAATATACCCAACGTTCCACCACTCAGTCAGAATGGAATGCATCTAGTGTCGTTAATCACTTTTCAACCGTGATGTTAAAACACACAAAAATTATTCCTTCAACAGTTAAAACATACCGTTAATCCCCAATGGCAAGAGGATATCACCATTCTTGGGCACGTTCTGTACATACATAGCTTCGCGACGACCACCAACTGAAAAGAGCCACAAATGGAGATGTCATCTAAAAATGCATATCATGCTGGCATTCTTTGTTTAAATGTTAACGTTTGTTTCTGGACTGCCCGCACTTGAGAAAGCGCGTGAGTTAGATTTTAGAACTACGTTAACTGGCATTGCCTTTAAACCTTTGGTAGCAGCATGACCTCTGGGGTGCGAACCACTAGCTGTGATCCATAATAGAGGTTTTTGGGTTCGATTGCATAAATATAAACGCGTCGTTAAACCCGCCACCACCCGGCGCAGCCAATTAGTAAGGTTTGTCACGTAAAAAAAACGTGCCAATTCGCTACCAGTACAGCACACCGGGGTGTTGGAGAGTAAACCCATAACATTTACAATTCGAGTATGACGTTTCACCAGTAATTAGCATCATCAGGTGACAGCCATATATGTGGAGAAATCCCCCTGTTTTGGTCTTAAATGGAGGGATAAATGTGATGTCGTCAATTGTGAGCCAATCAGGTGCGAATGCCAGAGGCCTGCGGGACGAGGGGGGGTTTATGTATGCATCGACATTACAATGGATATCCGTGACCTAGCTGTGAGTTTTAGTCAACGTTTGAGGTGCCACCAAGGTCCCCCGTTGCAGGGTGGTTGGGAACAGCGAAGTGAAAGTGCGCTCCACTTCTTCGCTGAAAACGCTCAACTCGCCGTCACATCCACCTACGGATAACAACCCGCCTTTTTACGGACTTGCGCGGTCACTTCGCTGGAATGGGTCGATGGCCGATGGGCAAGACTGGTGATGGAATGCAGACAAAGGGGTGAGCTCGTTCAAGAGCACGACCTCTGTGGAGATGGAGCGGTGAGATCTGTTCGTTTTGCAAGGAGTAAAGACGGATGTCGGCAGCACTCTGAGAGGAATGGCGATGGCACGGGGAGGCATTCATTCAGCAGTGGATAGGCAATGGCTGATGATGATGAAGAACTTCTGCAGACGGGCACACTGCCGTTTCCTGGAGACCCCGTCTGCGCCACGCATCACAATGGAGGTTACCCCCCCCCCCCCCCAACTCGTGCACGAATAAATAAATAAACAAATGGATCAACAATGCTGTCCCCTTGACGTGGCACGAACAGGCTTGAGCTCGACGGAGCGCCAGCAGCTGTGGAAGGACGTGAGCTGCTCCGGCGGCACCGGAGCGGCGGCCGGGCCCGGCGGGGTCAGCGCCAGCACCGCCGGGGGCGCCTGCGCTCCTGGCGGCCGGGCCGGGTGCTCGGACGACTCTCTGGCCGTGGTGACGTCCACGAAGAACGGCGGCGGGCTCGACCTGTCGTCGCCGTCGTCGTCCTCCTCGTCGGCCAAGCCGTCGCCACCGCTGGGGCAGCCGCCGCCGCTCGCCAACGGGCAGCGCCACACGCCGCGCCGGGATAGGTGACTAAACCATGCTCGCATACTGTTTTTCTTGTATCAGGTGAGGCCCCGCCTAGCTGTTTTTCGGGAAGCGACCTGGCTATCGCAAATGATTGCTCAACGGAGTGGCTCATCATCGCGTGGACATTTATTGCAGACAAATACTCTAAAGCGCGTGATGTTGATTCTAAATGTGGAGGGGGAAAAAACGGAGGACCCGGAGAAAAATCCCCGCAGCCACGGGAAGAGAGAAAGAGAGAGAGAGAACATGCACACTCCAAATATACAGGCGTCAGGGTCGGGATCGAACCCAGGACTTGCTGTATAGCAGACGAGGTAGTTAACATCTTGCCACAATGACGCTCGGGCGTGCGGGGACACTGCTATGTCGAGATGCCCTCGATGTTACGCGAAGATGTTGATGTCACTACTGCAAAATATATTATTACCGTGACAGTGCGAAGGGCATATAAATGCAACTGCCAAATTCATGCTACTCGCATATTTCAATACACACTGCAGGATAAAAACAACACAATCATACAACTGCTAAAACAATACATTTAGCATATAAATACCACCACCATAACAATTATGGAAGTAGGGTCACGTAACTCCCCCCACCATTGGCAGTGCTGCATAAGCCATATTTGTTTAAATACCTATCAGAAAATGCTGGGCAGCGATGGGACTCAAACTAGTCATTGCCAGCAAATTGACTGAATAGTGGGGCTGCTAACTGCTAAGCTATCAACATGGAACTATTTTAGTAAAAAAAAAAAGCAGCATTACTAATCTTTAATATAATAACACTTACATGTCATGATGATTAAATAATGGCACAGGTATAAATTACCATGATGGTGCGAGTTGCGAGTGTATTTCTTTAAATTTTAATAAAGCATAAAAAATTGCAAGAATTTAAACGATGATAATAATGCATCAAAAAAATGATATTGTGCATCTGCGCAGAAGCGGGACACCACCGGGGAAATGTGGCAGCCTGTCTAATTTCAAATAAAGATGAGCTCCCAGAGAAAAGATAATGTTTTTCAGTTTTGACAGCAAATGACAGGAAATGACTTGAGTCGCCAGGAGGAACATTTAGCGCATTTGTTTGCCTGTGCACCATCGGCTTGGAGATAACAGGCGGAATAAAGATTCCTCCACGTCCACCGGTACTCTCCGCCTTTTTATCCCCCCGCTCCCCTCCGCCCGTATTTGTGGCATGCGCCTTTATAAGCCCGGGACAGCATCCTTTCTTTGGCTGTTTGAAGCTAAACTCAAAAAATGCTCCCATCGCATTTGAACGTCGGGTGACAGTGGCTTCCATTGAGGGGTGACGGGCAAGGGAAATGGCACGCATTAAAAACGCTGGGCCCCTTTACAGAGGGCCGGGCGGCGATATTGCTCTTTTGTGTAAACGACCCTTTCATATTCAGCCACTCGGTTCACGGGGAAATTAAATGGAGGGTTCTCACTCTTTCCAGTAAACGCGGGCTTGAAGACAGCGGCCACGCGTTTCTCCGGGTCCGTTTCCGGTGCCGTGGGCTTGAAGGCTTATCAAGGAAAATGCTAATTTGGAACGTGGCACCAGCTGTTAATTTCGCCAATTTCTCTTGGAGATTCCGCTTGTAAAAATATATATACACAGTCTACAAATACGTTAGGCGCAGGGATGGATCACAGCGGCGCGGCGACCGGAGGTAATGATTTCGGCACGAAGGAGGGCTTCATCCAGCAGTGACGTGAACGCACGATAGATTACACGAGAAGGCGGTCTATTAATTTTGATAATGACACAGACTTCTTTTAAATCAGGGACACACCTGATGTTCGGCTTATTTAGAAGCCTCATTGTCGTGTGCTAATCACATAACTTTATACGATTATCTCAAATTCCACGCAGGATATGCCTGTTGAGAGCACATTCCAGTTAAATGTGTTTTTTTTTGCAATTCATAATCAGTCCGCATGTCATCACTTGGCAAGGCCGTGCTTCTGCAGAATTCTAAACTCTTCGTGCAAATTCCAAACCGTTGTTTCATTCGGCTCGTTCCTAAATAACACAGCGGAATTCGATTACGATCACCGCATGAATTCAGCCGCAATAGATTGTTTTGCGAGTACGTGATTATGAAAATAATAATTGGTTTATGTAGTACAATAAATGCATCACTAACTTGTATTAATTGCTGATTATGGCGTAAATAAAAGCCAGCAAAAATAGGAAAACACGCGATACTATAGCATCTCATTAGGATGGGTATTAAACAATGTGTATTTGCATATAGATTGCGACAATGTTCACATGACACGAATAGGAAAAATAATGCACCCTATTAAGACAAGCAACGCATGTTTATAAATATGTGGAAATTATTGCTGATAGATTACATGTGGATAATAGGAAGAATTCCGTTGAGTAGTGTGTCGAGCGTGCACATGTGCATCTCGACGGCGGGTGGAGCCGTGGCGAATTGGTTACTGCTCTGCGCAATGGACCCGTCGACCTGAGTTCGATTCCATGCCGTGGCTAACATCAGCGGTGAATGTCTGACCTGATGCTGGGCCTCCCCTTAGTTTGACTCGGCCTTAAATGAGTACCTGGTACTTGGTGCTCAAAACATCAGAAATGAGGAGATTGAAGGCGGCCCGACCTGGTTTCTGGCCGCACCACACTTGGTGGCCCGTGCCGTTCTTAATAGGTGCTCTCTAACAACACTTGTCCCAACAACCTGTGTAGGCTATACGGGGGAATTTTGTCTTTGGGGGTGGAAGTGGAGGGGGGGTAGGGGAGGAAGACTGGTGGCGTAGTTGTTAGTGCACTGCACTATATATCTGGTGACCAGAGTTCAATTTCTGGCAATGCATAATGGCGGCTATCGGTATCTGAACTCTGACACGAACCTCGAGTGGGTTTGACTCAGCCTAAGATAAGGGAAACCTAGTGTGATGTGTTAGCATGACGTGGATATGTGGGCCTCATTCTGGCTCTCCCGTTTGCCTTATACGCGGTACTCGCACACAGCTTGACCCAACATTCCACAACACGGAATGGGAATCTGTATCTGCATTACGATTGCACTGGTAGTATGGAAGAGAAAAACATGCATGTTTACGTGTAATAAGCAATTGTATTACCGGTCAACATGATGTCTCTAAATTGTGTTTATTCTCTGATCTGTGTTCCTCTTTCTATCAATGGAGCACACTGCCCACTGAGATCAGATCCTCTGAGTCGATCTCCACCTTAAAATCTCAATTAAAAACTCATCTGTTCAAAAAGGGTCTTACAATCTGGCTTGAATTCCCTCCTCCACTCTACCACCTCGTATATTCCAGCCTTAAATGCTCTCTATTATTAATCAGCAAAATTCCAAGCACACGCATATTGATTGCTCGGGAAAGTACGAGTGGGCCTGGCTCGCGCATGTCGCTAGACGGGACGGTGGCCGATGATTGAGACTGGCGATTGAATGGCAGCCGAAGGGGAGAATATGCCCTGGAGACATCAGCGCATGTGCAGGAGCTGATCCGATGTGACGTTGCAAAACCGTGAGGGACGATATTAAGTAATTAATTAATCTCTCGCCTACTTCAGCAGTTATTTCATGCTGTGGTTGTTCCACCTGATGACGATTGCTTGTGTTGCGGTCGAAATGTCGTGATGTATTATTTTTCTACCTACGTGACTTTACCGAAAGAACCAAAGAGTATTAATATTAATGTTTTATTTATAAAGTACATTCCATCGAGGATCTGAAAGTGCTGTTACAAAACAAAGTAGACACTCAACATAACAATAACTCATTAAACTAGAAACCGAGAAACAGCAAAATAACGTGGGGGCGGCTTTCATCGAGCGGTCGATAGATCACGGTTGATGATGTCGATGGCGATGCGTTAAATACACGTGCTAGAGAATGCGCAGGCGAACGTGCGTGCGACTGTAAAACCCTGAAAGTTCGTGTGAAGCAATGCCTTGCGGGCGATCGTAATGACTCTACGCGGCGTAACTCGTGGTGCCACCGAGGTCATTTCGAAGTCGGCGACTGGAATAATTTGAAACGTTAAACAACGTAGTCCGAGGTGTGGATCGGGTCGCTCCTCCACGGCGGTGAGACCTAGGGGGGCGGGGGCGGGGGTGGGGGCGGGTTGTCACCATGTCGCCAGCGATACGTTTTCATCCGCGTCGCGTGGATGCGTGGTTTCTGACCCACACGTGTAAAGCTCTCATCACACGCCGGCCACCCTCCACCGCCCTGACCTCACCCCTCGGTGTTTTGTGTCCTCCAGCTGCTCGCAGGAAGAGGTGGTCAATGGCACCCACCCGCTATTCGGTCACGGCGTGTGCAAGTGGCCGGGCTGCGAGGCTCTCTGTGAAGACTACGGCCAGTTCCTCAAGTGAGTCCCGCTTCGTATGTACGTGCGTGCGTGCGTATGTATGTTGAACTTATTTCGCGCACCGTACGAAGTCAACCGTGCCAATCGGTTTTGAGTGCACGGCGGTAGTTCATGTTAGGTTTGTAGCGGGCACGCCCACGCGCCGATTCATAAAAAATTGTTGCTACGCTCATGGTACATGCGTAAAATTGTGTGTCTGTTTGGTAGTGTAGCGGTTGGCCTTAATAGGTGCTCGCTAACAGCACTTGCCCCAACAGTCTGTTCAGGCTATACGGGGGATCTTTGTCTTTGTAAAGGTTAGCACGCTGGACTACGAATCCAGCGACCCGAGTTCGATTCCTGCTCACTACCAACACCAATGACGATTATCTGAATCGGTCCTGGGCCTCCCTTAGGTCGACAGCCTCAAGTACGTACCTTGTGCGATGTGTAAATATCGCAACTGGGGAGACAAAGGCGGTCGGGGGTGGTGCTAGCCACCCTCGTTTACAATTCCGGCCTTCAACTCGCTAACAGCACTTGCCCCAACAGTCTGTTAAGGCTACACGGGGGATCTTTGTTTGAGACAAAGAATTGATTGCAATGCATGGACATTGTCCGGAAATCTTATTGCTCGTGGTACCTTTAGGCTCGTGGAGCAAAGAAAACTGTACGAATAAAATGGAAAATCGGGACGCAATGAAGACTATACGTAACAAAGAGATAAGACAAAAAAAAACGGATAGTTTCTCGGGAATGAATTACAGTGAGGGAAAAAAGTATTTGATCCCCTGCTGATTTTGTACGTTTGCCCACTGACAAAGAAATGATCAGTCTATAATTTTAATGGTAGGTTTATTTGAACAGTGAGAGACAGAATAATAACAAAAAAATCCAGAAAAACGCATGTCAAAAATATTATAAATTGATTTGCATTTTAATGAGGGAAATAAGTATTTGACCCCTCTGCAAAACATGACTTAGTACTTGGTGGCAAAACCCTTGTTGGCAATCACAGAGGTCAGACGTTTCTTGTAGTTGGCCACCAGGTTTGCGCACATCTCAGGAGGGATTTTGTCCCACTCCTCTTTGCAGATCTTCTCCAAGTCATTAAGGTTTCGAGGCTGACGTTTGGCAACTCGAACCTTTAACTCCCTCCACAGATTTTCTATGGGATTAAGGTCTGGAGACTGGCTAGGCCACTCCAGGACCTTAATGTGCTCCTTTTGAGCCACTCCTTTGTTGCCTTGGCTGTGTGTTTTGGGTCATTGTCATGCTGGAATACTCATCCACGACCCATTTTCAATGCCCTAGCTGAGGGAAGGAGGTTCTCACCCAAGATTTGACGGTGCATGGCCCCGTCCATCGCCCCTTTGATGCGGTGAAGTTGTCCTGTCCCTTTAGCAGAAAAACACCCCCAAAGCATAATGTTTCCACCTCCATGTTTGACGGTGGGGATGGTGTTCTTGGGGTCATAGGCAGCATTCCTCCTCCTCCAAACACGGCGAGTTGAGTTGATGCCAAAGAGCTCCATTTTGGTCTCATCTGACCACAACACTTTCACCCAGTTGTCCTCTGAATCATTCAGATGTTCATTGGCAAACTTCAGACGGGCATGTATATGTGCTTTCTTGAGCAGGGGGGACCTTGCGGGCGCTGCAGGATTTCAGTCCTTCACGGCGTAGTGTGTTACCAATTGTTTTCTTGGTGACTATGGTCCCAGCTGCCTCGAGATCATTGACAAGATCCTCCCGTGTAGTTCTGGGCTGATTCCTCAACGTTCTCATGATCATTGCAACTCCACGAGGTGAGATCTTCCATGGAGCCCCAGGCCGAGGGAGATTGACAGTTATTTTGTGTTTCTTCCATTTACGAATAATCGCACCAAATGTTGTCACCTTCTCACCAAGTTGCTTGGCAATGGTCTTGTAGCCCATTCCAGCCTTGTGTAGGTCTACCATCTTGTCCCTGACATCCTTGGAGAGCTCTTTGGTCTTGGCCATGGTGGAGAGTTTGGAATCTGATTGATTGCTTCTGTGGACAGGTGTCATTTATACAGGTAACAAGCTGAGATTAGGAGCACTCCCTTTAAGAGTGTGCTCCTAATCTCAGCTCGTTATCTGTATAAAAGACACCTGGGAGCCAGAAATCTTTCCGATTGAGAGGGGGTCAAATACTTATTTCCATCATTAAATGGCAAATCAATTTATAACATTTTTTACATGTTTTTCTGGATTTTTTTGTTGTCATTCTGTCTCTCACTGTTCAAATAAACCTACCATTAAAATTATAGACTGATCATTTCTTTGTCAGTGGGCAAACGTACAAAATCAGCAGGGGATCAAATACTTTTTTCCCTCACTGTATTTTCCCAAATCTTGATAATTCATTAAATTGCTGGGAGGAGTAGAGGTCCAAATCATTTCAAGTTTAACAATTCTTGGACAAGAGAAGAAACTGGTGACCACCAAGAACAGACATGAACAAGAGGTGGCAAACCTTGTAAGTGCTGCCAATGTATTTATTTACATTGTCAACACGAGCGAATTCGGTGATAACCTCCATCCATGACCAAAACAGCAATATTAGCTTATCTTGTATCAAATTGAACAATTACATATCCCACGATTATCTCAATAAAAACAAATCGAGGATCGTTTTGCGGTCCTAATTTCGCGACCACTCGAGTACCCGTGATGCGATGCGTCCTGTGGTTAGCGATTCAATAGCGATATTGCGATCGAGCGGTCACTCCACTTAACCCCCCCCCACGCCCACAGCCCGTTTGGAGATATTCGTAAAATGTTTTCACGATCCACGCAGACGACCGACCTCGTAACCGGTGTGTGGAACGACACACCGGGCTACGGTTTCAAACTGCGTTTCTGTAGGGGGCCCGGTCCTGTTAACCGATCCATTGTGTATTTCCCACGTGGTTTTCAGAGCCCTTCAATTTGCGGCGAAGATTTTGGGCACTATTGAGAGGCCTGGTGTGGATTATATATTTATCTTCCATCAGTCAAAATGGATTTTTAATTACTTCCTCGTTGAGTACACTGCCAGTGCCCTGATGTGGTGGCGTCACTTGCGGTGCGTTGCGATGTTTTTTTTTGCAGCAGCAACCGCGAGCCTCCCCTTCCCCAGATCACAGCTCCGTGTTCTTCTTGTGCCCACCAATCAAAAGTCCCAATAATTGGAGTCACAACACTGCTGACAACTTGGCACAGCGCTGGATCCGCACACTGTCATTTTAACAGTGGTGGTTTAAGTGTTTATGCCTTTAACGGATGCTTCAGGAACTGCTTTAAAGATTAAGGATTTAGATATTTTACACCTTTTTTTAAGTGTGGCCAAAAGTAAAACAAATGTTATTAACTTCATACGTAAGTAGAATGAGATCTACAGAACCAGAATGACCAATATACATAAATATACTCTACATATATATGTATGAAATAACACAGGGCTCTGCGGTACATTTTTTGAGGCTCTAAAGTGGTGGGGATTGGGAGTTTAGAGCAGTGCAATATGAAGATGCGAGTGGAGGGGAAGTAAAATTTGTCATTTTTCCGCTTTGTGTGAGGTTACCAAGTGTCAGCCCGCTGGTTGATACCTATTTAATACATAGGCGTTCGCGATCAATATTACCCCATAATAGATGTTTTTTTTGGGTTAGATCGCGTAAATATGAATGTGTCATTAAACCCGCCAACCACCCGACACACAGCCAATTAGTAAGGGTTGTCACGTAAACAAAACGTGCCAATTCGTGACTAGTTCAGCACACCCACAATATTTACAATTAAGTTTACTCTCCAACACACCGGTGTGCTGAGCTAGTCACGAATTGGCACGTTTTGTTTACGTGACAAACCTTACTAATTGGCTGTGTCGGGTGGTGGCGGGTTTAACAACACATTTATGTTTACTTGATATAACCCAAAAAAAACTGTTATGGTTGATACCTGATTTGTGGATTATCTATATTTAAGCCCGAGACAATGCTAACCTTTGTATCAGCGATCAAGGGCCCGGCCACATTACGGAACATTCAAATATTCTACTATTACGTGGCAGCTGTTGGGAACGATACCAATAAACGCGTGCCTCTTTATGAGCCATTTGGAAACAAGCACTAATAAGTAATGACCCGCGCTGCGGTCCAGAGCGTTTTGCGTCCTCTGATCTCTTAAAGGAGCGACGGCAAACCGACTTGCCCGTAGCAGATTGATTTCTGCAGGATAGATGCAAGCTGTGAGACAAAGACCATGTTTAGGGCATGACAAAGTGGCTTAGGATCAATATCCGTGACACTGCTTACTGATAAACCGAACATAAAGAATTGAGTCGCGAGGAGGAAAAACCGCCCTCGCCCGGTGCGATTGTCACTTAGCCGTCCGCGGAAGGCGGCTAACAAAACGCCTGACGGTTGTGATGTGTTGCGCCGTCGCAATAAACCGGCGCTCGTAAAACAGGCCGGCTTATAAAGTGTGATGTCTTGCGGGCCCGATGTTTGTCCGCTGCTGGCATTTTGCATGATTTATGTAGAGCCAAGAAGCGTGGATTCCGCGGGAAGGTCCTGCGTTGCATGTGCGTGCGCGAGGCCTGCCTGCGTGCGCGAGTGAGTGAGTGAAGAACACCAGCGTCGCCACCATCGCGCGCACGCGCTCGCGAGATCGCTCAGCCGCCTCTACCCTCCTCGGGCCCCCGCGCTGCGCGTGCGGCGCGTGCGGAACACACTATCAATTAACTTGCTCATTCATTGGGGGGGGGGGGGGGGGCTTTGTTTTGCACAGGTAGATTGTACCGCGTAATGAAATCACGAGCATAAGCTCATGAAGGTGAAACGACAGTGAGCGTAATTAGATTTTGATTAAACTCCTATTATCATGCCTGTGGCAGGACATCAATTTGTTTGTCAACACGTTTAAAGCCATCACTTTTAATAGGGTGGTAGTCATGGTGTGGGGGGTGCGGGGCACGCCAAATGTGTGTGTGTGTGGAGGCTGAATCAAAATGAATAAGCAGCATTTCAATTTTTCACCGTTATTTTGGCCCAAAAATTAAACTTGCTGCTTTTAAATTTTCTCGACCGTTTTTGCTGCTGCTGCTGCCTCAGAGGGGGCCCCGGCAGCAAGCCCGACCACAATAATCCGCCGCGGTAAATAGGCGCGTTATTGTCGAGGTGTGACGGCGGGAAAAGTGTTCGGGCACCGATAGCGGGGGGGGGGGGGGGGGGGGGGCGAGTCAGTGAATACACCCGCGAATGTTTTTGCTCGCCGCCCGACCTTCCGAGGGAAACAATGCGGGTAATAGTATTTCCGCGCGGCGTCTTGACAAAGCCCTTCCTGGTCAGCCCGGAACCCCCCCCCCCCTCGCTCGTAATTTACGACTTTTTAATATATTAAATGCATTAGCGGGCTCGTAATGAAGCCGTGCCTGAAATGAAAGGGATATTTGAAACCTCGTTCCACCGCGAGTCTGATTAAATGATTAATGAGGAGCGCGGTCGCATTTGCATTATCGAGAAGTAATTCGGGTGAAGGGAGATAAAAATCAGCCAGTGTTCGGCAAAAGGGTAGGCTTTTGCGCCATTTTATCACCCCTCGCGCAAGCATAAATCAGAAGATATACACACTGCTCCCGCCCCACAAGCCACCGCTCGCGCGCTGAGGCGCGCGCGCGAGGCCCGTTGAAATATAAAACGGGGAAGAGTTATCGCCGTCCCAGTATGAAATAATCGCGTGTAATTGCGATCATAATTCACGGATGGCGAGCAGCTGTCTGAACTTGCTGCAGGTAGCAAATGGTTGAAAACATGGGGGGGGGGGGAGGGGGGGCCGGGTGAGAATTTCCCTTTGTAGTGGCTTCAGCCATTTTGTCACAAAAATTAGGCTGAGATGAAAGAAAGAAATGAGAACATATTTTTTTCTCCAGAATATTTGATGCAAGGTCACTTAAAAAAAACCCCACAGATTTCCTGGTGTTGGCGTATACACCATAAACGCGGAATGCGTTACGGAGCATTTTGTGGCAAAATGTTTTTATGGATTTCATTTTTTTTTGGTCCCTAACAGCATCGTTTCGCAGTGTGTTTATTTGGAGCAGGTTTTAATGAATTAAAAAAGGCATCGACAAGTGGAAAATTGTGGCAAGGAACAAGGTGTTGCTATCGATCGGAAAGCGCTGTTTGCGCGAAGCTGTTTGTGAGGCGGGAGGCATGGATCTTGGCGTAGAGCTGACATTAAGCAAAGCCCACCTTCCGAATGATTTCATTATCGTACAAATACGCACCTGCAAGGGCTGGAGAAAAAAAAACCCCTCTCTCTCTCTCGGGCGATCTCGCACGGTCCTTTACCGCGCTGCCTCTATTCTTTTTTTTCCTCGCTTCTGGTGGGAGATCATTCTAATTTGGTTTCAGCTAACGGCGGACTCTGTGGCAAAAGGCTATTTGAAAGCCTTAGCAGTGGAGAGGTAGCACTTGCACCTTGTAATCCTTTTATAGTGGCGTCTATGGGGGAAGAGGGTCGGTGGGGGGGGGGGAGTTGTGGGTAAATGTGCAAATGAGCCTCAATTCAACGCGTTTTCGAACTTGTTGAATCCAGCGTGGTTGGTGGTGGCTGATTCGAGCGGTGCGAGAGGCAATTTTTTGCGCCGCGTATATCTTCCAGCAGTCTCGGATGAGCTCCTTTCGAGCAAACAACATATTCGCCACGTCGAACAAGGATATACATGTTATCAGACGTTCTGGTTTTCTGCGCGTTTGAAAACGAACCCCCTATTTGAGGTTGTGAGCTTGGCACATTGTTGCGTTCCACCTCGGTGCAGATAACAGTAATGAGTTGAATTCAGAATATACGCGTTTTAATAATAATAACGATAATAATAATGCAGCCATGGGTTAGCAGTAGTGATTAAAATTTGAGCAAGTGCAAAAATAATACAAAAAAGGCATCAGAGAAGAGTTAAGAGTACACAAAGCACATGTAACATCTCATCAAAGATTTTCACAGCTTTAATTAAAATGGTCAAAACTCCTTTCAAAACACTGATCCACTGAACACAGCTTGAAAATTAAAACATTAGTATTCTCTCTCTTGTGCGCTCGCTCTCTTAGACCCTCTCTCTCCCTCTCGCCCGCTCCCTTAGCCTCGCTCTTTCCAGATGTAAAATTAACACAAGTTGGATGAGAATTTGTTGTCTTTTTTTTGTGTATATCCCCCGCGCTTCCATTAGCGAACCCCTACAGCATCGGTAACGGTAATTTGTTTCTTCCGCTGCCTGTTCACAGACACATGAACGCGGAGCACGGGCTGGATGATCGCAGCACCGCACAGTGCCGGGTGCAGATGCAGGTGGTGCAACAGCTTGAGCTGCAGGTTGGTGCTACAAAAACGGACGTGCAGCCTTCTGGGCCGTCGGCGTCGATTTTCCTCGCCCTCCGTTCTCTTGGTGTCGCCGTCTCCGAGGCGTGTCGACGACGACGACCCGTGAATGTTTGTTCAAGTCATCGGGCCTGCGGATGATAATTTCTGTAATTTTCTCGGCATAGTCAACTTTTAGGGATGGATCTCGGAAGTCCCCGCTGTGTGTCTGCCGTGCAGCGGGCACCAGACATGGCGGGTGCCGGAGGATAGAAAGCATTGGCGAGGTGTGATGCCATCAACATCGTTGCCCTCGATGACTTGATATTGAGTCGATGAAAGCAGTCGAACACTCAGCCGACTCTTAGCTATTCAATTTTGGTTTTGAGGGGGCTTGTAATATCCCCCTCGTGCTCGCCCTCCCCCCACCAATATTATCGAGACAGTCAATCGGTGAAGTCGGTCAATCCTTTTTACATCCACGTAGGGACCGAAGACCATTGTTTGTCCCACGATGATGTTACTATGTTATCTCAGTCCGCGTCTTGAGTCAGAATTAGTTAATTTAGTCTGTGGTGGGTAGTGGTCATGGTCCTCTTTTCACAATTGATTACTTTTGTCCACTCATCATTGACTCATATATATTTTAAATATGTATCATCACTAATTAACGCCGCTGATGGCACATGGTAAACTTTGCCCACAGAGTCAAAAGTCAAATGTGCATGGAGTGGTACTGATTTTAAAACATGGGACCTTTCTTGCCAGTATCAAAGTATAAGAATAGGTTTTACCCTTCAAACACAAAACATAAACCTTTTGCAAGGAATCATGTCTGCATTAACCACACGCACTGCTATTGATTTTATTTGTGGCCTGGAATCAGTGGTGACAATTCCACATTCCTATGGGAAGGACGTTTCGCTACACATGATCATTTCCCCACCAAGTAGGTAGTCAGATTACATTGAACTCTACACTTTCTACAACTGATTGGTGATGGGAGGAGCAATAATGAGAACAATTAAATAATTGGTGTCTACAGGGACGTCGATACAAAGGCATTAACTGTTGCTTATCTATCCTACTGTAACAGGCCTTTCACTGGTTTCTCTTTAAAACAAAAAACACAAAATCAGTTTTCCCAAAAAATTTAGAGCAATAGGTAAATCAACAAACTCAACTGGGTGGTCGTTGTTGGTCCTCAACAAAATCCCTTTTGGTTTGGCGTTTGAAGAAAACCGAGTGGGGGGGGGGGGTCCCTGGAGGGTTGTGGGAGCCACGGCGGCTTTTCGTCACACAAAAGTGCATCCTATGCCAACAATACCCCAGTTCGACGATGCGTGCAAGGACGGGAGTCGCGGTGGCATCGTCCCACGAGATGCAGGGAGAGAGAGAGCGCGGCTCGAGCCTTAGCAGGCCGCCTCCACGGCAGTCCGCCGTCCACACCGCCGCGGGTCGCCCCTGACAAGTTTTGCGTCGTTACGCCTAAATAAAAGGCAAAATCGTGTGGAAAGCGATCGCGGCTGGTGGCGGTGGGGGCGGTGGTGGCAGCGGTAAGGAAGGGAGCAAAGAAATAAATAACAACGCTGAGCTTGACGAATGGCGCCGCGCCACCCGAATTTGGCCGGGCCAGCCGACCCCGGCGCGCGAGTAATGACGCTTCCCGCGCGAGGGCCGTGTTCGCCGGGAAGGGGAGCGGGGCGCGGAGAGGGAACTCCCGTTGCCTCATCCCGGCGCCACACGCGGTGAGGAGCGGCTCCCCGCCCCCCCCGCCCCCCCGTGACAGCCTCCTGTGGGGGGGCGCTCGGGCCGCGCTCCGAGGGCCTACTTAACGCCGCCATGCCGCCGCCCTTGTTAGGGCAGCCCGCTCTCTCTCCGACGGGCACGCACATCGCATTACCATTCCGTTCAACCGGTGGACTATCGGGGGGGCGGGGGGGGGGAAAGGAGTTTGCGCGGTTCTTTATTATTTTCCTGGGTTCTTTTTTATTTTTTGCCGCATATCATTTACAGCTTGTTACCAAAATAAAAAAAAAGGGGGAGGCGGAAAATTCCCGAGGGTGCCCCATTATGTCGGTAAATCGTTACGCAGAACGACGTGCGTGTTGTGCGACGGGAGATGTTTGCTCCGTTTTATTTTTGGCGTCTCGCTTTTTTTTTAATCTTCTTCCCTTTCTTTTGAGCGCACGCCGCCATCCTTTTTTTTTTTTTCGCGTGAGCCTTCGCCTCTTGCCCACGCCGAGCGCTTTTTTCCCCCCCGCGATGTTGCTCAGCTGTCGAAGGAGCGGGACCGCCTGCAGGCCATGATGTCGCACCTCCACATGAGGCCCTCGGAGCCCAAGCCGACCCCGCAGCCCGTGAGTTATCCCGGCGCGCCGGCCCACGCGGCCCTCTCGGAAATAATGATGGATGGCCGCCGGGTCCCCGTCTTGTCCCCCCGACCCTCGAATTTTAAAGCATCGCAACCGAGTCCGGCGCGGAGCAAATAAAGCCCCAAGTGGCGTGCCGCCGCCGCCCATTAGGCGGCATTGATGCCGACGCACGTGTTTAGTTACCGCGTGTCCTCCGTCCGCCCCAGGATGAGCGCGCACAACCTGTGTTTGATGCGACCGGTGATCAAGTTCATTGCTAGAGGGAAGGGGGATGACATAGGCTTACAGTGACAAGGTTTTTTTTGATGGCCCACTCTGAAAAAGCTTTCACTTTTGTTAGCGCCCCCCCCCCGGCCCCCTACACCCCCCCCCCGCCCCCTACAACCCCCCCCCCCCCAACCTGCCCTGCCCCCCCTACCACCACCACCGCCGCCCCTTCTCTATCGCCTTGCTATCCAATTGGGAATAATCAGTCTGCAAACACGCCCACTCATGAACATGACATCTCTGCTGCTCTCTTAACCTGTCCCGTTGCCATTAATTTGACGTTTGCAATTTTTCTCATCATCCAACCCCCCCCCCCCCCGCTTTCCCCCGATCTCTCTCCCTCTCTTGCGTTTTTTTTGTCTTCACATCGCTCGCCTACTCTAATTGGAAACTCACGTTCCCTCCGGCTAATTTTCCAATTTGGGCCTGTTTTCCGATAGCGGGGGCTGTATTTATGGAGGGAGGGCCTCTCCCCCCCTCTCCTCCACACCACCCCCTCCAAACCCGACAGCACTAATCGGCCGAGGTGGCGGGGTCGATGTGTTGTTTTCCGGCTGATTGGAGGCTCGCAGATGGAAATTGAAGGCCGCAGCCGCAGTTAACCGTGCATCCTGCAAATCCCCAACAAGCAAAAATCCCGTTTGCTAACGACACGAAGCTGTAAATATTGGCAGTTCACTGCCGCATTCTGCCGTGCCATCAAAAATTAATGATTTAGAAAATGTTCCCATTAATAATACCTTTTTTTTTAATCCGAAGTGTTATCAGTTTCGTCTTGCTTACATGCAATGCACTTTATTAATGCGCTGCTTTTTTATTTTTCAGTTTTATTGTTTTTCCACCACCAGTTTCACTTTTAAATTACTTGTTCTGTATCTGTTTAGTATTAATGTTTTTAATATGACCCCCTACAAATTAACTGCCTCTTTAGTTGTATTATTTCTTTGTGTTCTCGTGTTCTCCACTGAATTTTCTCGCTGGAGGTTTTTTTTTTTCCTCTCTCAATGTGGTCCCCACTCGCCCGCTCGTTCTCTCACACATCCACTCACTCCGCACGTCTACCGGCTCACTCATGCACTCGCGCACTTGCTCACCCCTTCTCCGATCAAGTGGCCGATCCACCCACCTAACCACCCACCCACCCGACCGGCTATTCCCTTAATAATAACACTTCTCACTGCAGCTACGCGTGCAGCCACCTGCACTCAACCTCTCATGCTCGCTGGCCCCGTGACTCGCTCACACGCCCTCCTGACTGCCCGCCCGCCCGCCCGCACGCTGACTGACTGACTAACCCACCCACTTGCCCGCTCACTCACTAATACAATTCACACAACCACTGACTCACACACACACTCACTCACTCTCCCTTGCCTCCGTGCCCGCCCGTGCAGCTGAACCTCGTGTCGGCCATTACTTTGTCCAAGAGCGTGGCGAGCTGCGCCAACCCCTGCGAAGCGTCCTCGGGCTGCTCGGGCTCCATGAGCTCCCACAGCGTGCCCCTGACCCCGACGACGCCCACGCCAGCGCCCACGGCCCTCACCCCCAGCGGGCTCCCGCCGCTGCCGTCGCTGCCGCCGCTGGCCGCGCTTCCCCAGGGCGTCATGCACGGCGTGGCCACCCACCCCAACCCGGGCCCTCCGCCGCCCCTTCCGCCGCCGCTACCGCCGATGCTGAGCCGCACGCCGGGGCCGCTGCCTCTGCCGCCGCCTCCGCACCACCACCAACACCACCACCACCACCACTCGAGCGTGCACGCCGGCATGGGCCCCATCCGGCGGCGCCACTCCGACAAGTACAGCATCCCGGTCAGCGCCGGTACGTCTTCGCCGTCGTCACGTCGTAGTAGTCGTCGCCGCCGCCGCCACAGCTGTGCTGCTGCTGCTGCTGCCCGTGTTGGGTCGTCCGTCCCTGTCGTGAGTTGTAGAGGTCGCTCGTGTGAGCGTTGGACCCTTGATGTGACCCCCAACGATGCGGTTGAGAGAACTTCTTCTGCAAAGTTTTCAAATTGCTGTGCAGAGGAAACCAATGATTGCACCTCGATTGCCAGTTTTTTAGTTACGTATTTTTGTCTCTTTCCTCAATTTTTGTTTCCGGTTGTGCTATCGGGTGTCGTGTGTTAAGTCGAAGATTACCGGTTTAACATCTTCCCTGCAAACGCCACTTAATGCAGTGCATTTTGGCTCCTGTAAGGTGTAAGGTATCATTTAAGGTGTTCTCTGTGGGCGCTCGTGAGCTAGTAGAGAAAATTCCACTTTCATCTGGAGCCCATTGGTTTTTTTCTGCACAGGGAGACCACTTTTGACTTTCCAGGAAATTGGTGCAGCCTTTCCAGGTGGTTCCTTATTTACCATACCTGGAGGGATTAGGGGCTGAGTTAGAGTTAGGGTGTCACGGTGGCGAGATATTAACTACCTCACCTGGTATGCAGGAGATCGTGGGTTCAATCCCAACCCTGACGCCTGTTGTATATTTGGAGTTTGCATGTTCTCCCTGTGGTCACGTGGATTTTTCACCAGGTCCTCTGGCCTTTCCCCTCTGCATTTAGAAACGTGCGTTTAGAGTATTTGGCTGCTATATATTTCCACGTGATGAGCCACTTCGTTGAGCTATCAGTTGTGGCCAGGTCGCTTCTGAAAAAGAGCTGTATAGCTCAGTGGGCCTTACAAGGGTAAGATAAAATTGTTTAGTTTGTAGAATTGGCCAGGATTTAAAATTGTGATCTCCCACGTTTATGAATCTGTTTCTCTTATCAGCTTAGCTACATCCCGGGCCATTTGCCTGAAAAAAAAACATGAACATGCGAGTGGGCCGGATGGCTGGAGTGGTTTACGTGCTTCCCGCTTGTGTGCAGACCGACACGGATTCAAATCTAGCCTTGGCCACACCACGATGAGATTCAGCAACGTCATCATCCAGCTAGTAAACCCCCGTTGCGCTAAGTGAGCTTGACAGATTATATTATTAGTGAAGTGCCCGGAGATGTTGTTTTCAAGAGGAGGCTTTCATGTGTGGGAATCATCGCCCAAAGTTGGAAAACGCGGAAAATCGCCGTATTCTCATTTGATGCTTTCTGTGACCAGATGCTGCTCTACTCCAGGGGGATTCATCTCCCTTTATACATCACCGTCAACACACAGTCTCACATTTAGATGATATATATACATACCCACGTTGTGTTTCTGTCTATGAGTGTCAAACGTATTACTCTAAATACAATAATAATAACGAGAAGATGTTTCATCCCTTTGTCAATCTACTTCTGGGTGAAGGCCTCCCCAAATAGTGTCATATTTTTTTTCTTGTTGCCGTACTTCACCACACTGGTCGGTGTTGATTGGTGAAAGACATGCCCGGGACTTGTTCATAGCACCCCTCGCCACCGATTTTAGTCATGGTTGTGAATCATACTCGAGTAGGCCAGATCCATAGTGTAGTGTGATAACTTCTGTGCCACTGCTTCCCCTTGTCTAAAGTATAATTTATGTTATACAGTAAAACCTTGGATTGCGAGTAACTTGGCCTGCGAGTGTTTTGCAAGATGAGCAATTTTTTTTAAATAAAATTAATTTGATAAACGAGCGAAGGTCTTGCAATACGAGTAGTATGGACACGCTTTGTCTGCCGAGCGTCACGTGATCACAACTGATATACGAGTGCTTTGATATACGAGTGCTTTGGATTACAAACACGTTTCCGGAACGAATTATGCTCACAATCCAAGGTTTTACTGTATATGTATGTATGTTGAACTTATTTCACACCATACGTGCTAATCGGAGGTGCCTATGTGATGCTGAGCAGCAGGTAAACATATCTTTAAACAACAAAATGGTAACACGATTAAGAGTATAGATGCATGGATGCATGCAATAAAACTCATTCCTTTAGAATTTCCTCTCGTGTTTAGTGTCAAGTCCAACCGATTACCACGGTTGACTACGTACAGTGCGAAAAGAAGTTCAACATACATATGTACATTTATGATCAGCATGTAAAAATAATCTTATACCGAGGCCGAGATATAGATTCTTAATGGATGATGTTTTGTATGTGACACTATTTAGCAATACCTTATTCTTGAAATATTTTTACCACCCTTACAGTATAATGATACTTGGCTATTAGCATCTAATTGTGACTGTATCTCAAGACAGTGCTCAAAGGGCAGGGACAAGGGCATCACAATTGCAGGAGTGTGGGGTGTTTGCACGGTTTTTAAGTGAGATGCAATCGGAATTATTTGATAAATAATGGGAGAAAGTCAGTGATAGGCAGAGGAGAAGAGGTAGATATTGAGCTTTTTGGACTTGAACAGGGGCAGGAAGTCGGTAGCATGGACGGCTGGAGCGTGGCAATCTTAACCAGTGGGAGCAGCAGCAGCAGCAGCGAAAGAGCGCTCTCCTACAGGACCGATTCAGATAATCGTGATTGGTGTTGGTAGTGAGCAGGAATCTAACTCGGGTCGCTGGGTTCGTAGTCCAGCGTGCTAACCTTTGCAAAGACAAAGATCCCCCGTGTAGCCTTAACAGACTGTTGGGGCAAGTGCTGTTAGCGAGTAGCACCTACGAAGGCCGGCACGGCACACGAGGGGGTGGGTGGCTAGCACCACGCCCGACCGCCTTTGTCTCCCCAGTGACTCCAAAGACACACACAGACAGACATGCGCGTGTCCCTCTGTGCGTGTGCCGCATTTGACACGTACGCTACATCGCCACCAAACGCGGCACCGCGTGCGTCGTTGATGGAGACGCGGCTAAAGAACAATCTCTCGTCGGACACTTACAGTGATTGCATTACGCTTTGCCTCGTCTGCCTCCCTCCCCCCCTCCCTCTCTCACTCTCTGGCAGACCTCGCTCAGAATTACGAGTTCTACATGAACGCCGAAGTGAGGCCGCCGTTCACTTACGCCGCCTTAATACGGCAGGTGAGAGCCCTCCTCCCACCGTGGGCGAAGGCACTGAAACGGTTCGCGAATAATCGCCGGGCTGTGTTTTTTTTCTTTTTTTTGGCCCGGGTGATCCGGCGACGTCTAAAGCGCGCCTGACCAAACGCGTCTGCCTCATTTGCCGTTTGTGCGAAGGCCATTCTGGAGTCTCCCGACAGGCAGCTGACGCTTAACGAGATCTACAACTGGTTCACGCGGATGTTCATGTATTTCCGCCGCAACGCTGCGACGTGGAAGGTACGTGAGTGAGTTGCCCGGTGGGGCGCTTGCCCCAGCAGCCCCTGAATCGCCAAATAAATGTACGCACGTACGCACGCACCGATACGTGTGCACAAGCACACCTGCACATATTAGCACGCGCAAATAGACACACGCAAGCGCAGGCAAATAAAGGTACACAACGTGGACGTTTCCAAACACAGACAAAGACACAGATCCCCTCTATAGCCTTGAAAGACTGTTGGGGCATGTGCTGTTAGCGAGTACCTATGAAGGTCGGCACGGCACCATAGACATGCACACACATACATAGACACACACCTGCGGATATGCATAGACATATACACACACACGGACGAGTGCACATGCCCGCATGCACGCAGACATAGACACATGCTCAAACGCGCACACTCACATATCCGAACATGCATTCACACACAAAGACAAACGCATGGAAATACACACGCAGCAGTCAACAACAACAGTCAACAACAACAGCCGCCACTGTCCACTCGGGAGGGGGGAGGGTGACATCACCACGTCACTTGTGCTCAACTGGCTGCAATTTGAGGCTCCGTGTAAGTGTGAAAGGCTCGCTTGCAGGAGATCATGGGACAGACCCAGGTGTGATGAGTTGACCGACTGAGATGACTGGGCAGATGCACCACCTGTGGGCGTGATTGATCACTTGAAATGCGGCTTGGGACAGGGAAAAACATAAGACTCGGTAATTAGGCGATTAAATGTTCCGTGAAAACAGGATGCGTTTCATATGTACTGCCCGGCACTTGTATAAAGTCACATTGATGTTCCGCTAAATGCCTTCTTGTAATTTAAACAATATGCCATTTTTAATTTGCGGCACTTTTTTCTTCCAAAAGGGAAAGAAACCAGGGATCAATGCGGCCCAATTACTCAGAGGTGTCCCCTGCGTTGTTGACACATTTATTGGAGGGAACCTGCACACTCTTTACCCTGTGTTAAAAGGGCAACGCTTTTACGGGCATTTAAACACAACAATAACAACAGCTGCGGTTTGCTACGAAGTGGCAGTGGCCTCACTGCCGAGCACGTGCCAGGTTAGGTGCACTCTGAGGCTACGTGCAGTGTTGATGGCTGGCTAGCAGTAAGTTATGGGACAGACTCAGGTGCCATTGTTTGACTGACTGAGATGACTGGCAGATGCACCACCTCTGCTCCCCACTGCGTCAACTCGCTGCAATATAGCCGCCCGGCGCTCCGCTCGTTGTTGTGTGCGCTACTCCTCTGCCTCCCGTCGTTGTTGCTATTGGAGGGTGACTGCACGTACCTGCATGTGCACACATAAAAACATAACCGCACACCGACACGGACGGAGACATAGACAAACGCACGCGCGCACACATGCGTACATACGGGTACACCATACGTACACACACCCATGCGCGGTGTATACAGCTTATAATTCCCGTGGATGTAATGAAGGACCGTGCATGACACATGAGCTGGACACTTTTTTTTTTCTTTCAGCCTGCAAGGGCAGCATTTGTTAATGAAGGTGGTGGTTTCTTTGTCCGTGTCGTGTGCAAGATTCACATTTATTGTGCACATTCAGTGATTTTTATTCTTTCTAAACGTCAATAAAATAAACACAATCATCCGAAAATACAATTTCCTCCACGTGGACAAACGAGGAAGGGACAAATTGTGATGTTTTGCTTCCTTGCCCAGCAGCTATTGTTTTATTTTTCACGTTTCCCATTGACCCATATAGCGGCGCAGTCGTACACGTATATATATATGCGTATAAAGTTGCACTTAATTTTTTTGTCTGCCAGGTAGGATATTATACTTTCAGCGGGAGGATGGGCCTTCACTACGCTGATTGCCTGTAATGTCACACTGTGTGACAGTAATGTAGGCTCTGCTCTACTGAAGTGGTGTGCATTTCAAATACAGCTTCGGCAGACCTGGGATTAGAATGGGAGTTTTTTTTTCCCACCACCACCCGTGAAAGGCACCTCGCAGTCTCAAAATTTGAGTCATCGCCAATGTGGAAATTATGATGTTGAAGCCGGCGCTGCTGTAAATATTATACATGCATCTTAAAGATAACATTAGTCAGATCTTTCCCACAGATGAGAGATTGGGGGGGGGGGGCGTAGGGAGGGAGCAGGGGTGGAAGTGGAAATCGGCAGCAGATGCATGCATGGTTAGAGCAAGCGTGCGTCCAGTCAGTGGGAGCGATAATACTGGTGAAGGTGCGGCCCTGCAATTGCTTGCTCACACCACTGCCAGAATAAGGGCCTCTATTAAATGGAGGCGAGGTCTAAGAGGGCGTCTCTAGGGGGTGTTTTGGCCTACTCTTCCAAACCGGCCAGACGTCTCCTAAGCGTTGCGAGTAGCCCCACTATAACATGCCACACGCGACCAGCCGGTACACTAACTCTGGTGCACCCACAGATCAGAATATCCTATTTATAGCGGAGGAATCCGATGAGCTATGAAGCTCTTTTTTCACAGATGTCAACCGCTGGTGAACAATTTCTGTGGGGGCGAGTGGGGGATGGTTAATAAACTTTCACCGTCGTTTTCAAGTACCGTGCCAGGAGATGAAATCGGGCGACCTCTCGATTGCAAGGCCAGCGTGCTCACCGTTACACCATGCTCGCAGCATGTCACGGCCTGGATATATTTATATTGTGTGGGGGGGGGGTTTCCCTCACTTCTTCCCCACAGTGCTCCACCCAGCCGCTTAAAACAATTGGATTGCAGCTGTCAGTGCATCGCGCCCGCGGGGGATTTGTGCTCCGACGTTCTGATGCGACTGGGCCGTATTACTAAAATAATGAAATAACCATCCCAACTCTCAAAGAGGCGTCTGGTGCAAAAAAATTATATAGGGAGGGTGAACCGAGGGCCTTTCATCGTCGGCAGTTCGTTAGCGGTTGCCTCGGCGATTGCATATTAACGAGGCTAACGGCCCCCTCGTCTCCCCACCGCTCTCCCCCTCCCCTGCGGGCTCAGAGTGGGAGGGAGCCGGCGGGCGGGGGGCCTGCTGCCTTCGGGAGTCAATCCGGAGGGGGGGGGAATACGGCGGCCGTAGTGCAACGGTTAACGCATGGATGGCACTTGCAGTCCAGACAGAGGTCACCGGCTCGATCTCGCGACGCGGCAGTTGAAACAATGGTGCAGGTTTATTCATTCTCCCAACTTCCGCCTCCTCCATCTGTCCACCCCGAGAGCATAAACCACAGTTAGTGTACCGGCATGTGGTGGTGGTGGGGTAAAGTTGTATTTGCCAGAAAGGGTAAAACCTATTCTTATTTTTCATACGCCCATTACTTGTGGACGCCTGTGAAAAAGAGCCTCATAGCTCTCTCGGATTCCTCCTCCAGCCTAAATAAAAGATTCTGATGATGATATTTTACAAAAACATTGGCCAGCTTGAAAGAGAGTATGCCCAAGTACCCTCCTCTAGAAGGGGGCTGCCTTGGGCTGGCTCCTTCTCGTGGAGGCCCGTCCGCCAGCGGGAGCACGAATCGCCACTCGCAACGGGGCTGCGCCTTTACCGAGTGAGAGGAAGTGTATTGAGGGGGTAAGAGGAGACTCCGTCTCTGGTGAGTCCGTTGTGTAGCAGTCCTTGCAATGTTGTGACACAATTCATTCCAGGATCCAGGTCACTGCGTTGCGGGTTATACATTTAAAAATTAAAGCTTTTACAAATAACGTCATCAACCCGGCAATGGTAATAGAGAAAGTCAAAATTGTCGTCGTCGTCATCATCATCGCCGCCAGCATCTCATCATTGCCATGATCACCGTGATCATATTATTGTCATTGTTAGAAGCTTGAATATTGAATGTGCCATGAATATTTGGGGCACGGGGAATTATTTTTTTTATTTCAAAAAAACTCACCCACCCGAACGCAGAGCAATGGAAGGAAAAGTTGAAAATCTAACTCAATGACGTGTCAGGCGATCACAAAAAACGACATCAGTTTCAAAAAGATGTCACGTCCCCTACTTTGAGCGTTTCACAGATAGCGCGTTGCAGCGGCGCAGGGCGCTGCTTCGGATTCTGTGCACTCACGTCCCTTTGCCCAACCTCTTTACCTTTCAGTTCCTGTTAGCTTGTCTTGTGCATGATGACATGTTTTCATTTTAAGCTGTTGAATATTTAAACTTCACTCAACCAAACTTTCTTCTTATTAAAAAAAGGGGGTTATACTGTTTATTTATTTATTTAAAAATATCACGGCTTTAAAAAAAACTCCTTTATAGTCAGTCACACGGTGAACTATGCCTCTTGGGCCATGGGGGACAGAAAAGCAACTGTCAATGAGATTAAACAAATGTAATATTTCTCACTTATTTGTTATATATAGAGAGAGACCCTACTAGACATAAATTGAGTCACGCACATTGAAAGCAAACAAATGTATGAAAATAGTTGCAAGTTATGCATTGCCTTCAGTGGCTTGGGACTTTGTAACGTGTGTGTGTGCGTGTGTGTGTGGGGACCGGTAGTGCAGCGGTCAGCGCGCTGCGCTACGAACCCGCTCACGGCCAACACCAGTGACGATTATCTGAACCGGTCCTGGGCCTCCCCTAGGTCGACTCAGCCTTAAAATAGTACCTGGTGCGATGTGTAAACATCGCTACTAGGGAGACAGAGGTGGCCGGGCGTGGTGTTGGCCACCCCAACCCCTCGTGTGCCGTGCCGGCCTTTATAGGTGCTCGCTAATAGCACTTGCCCCTACAGTCTTTTAAGGCTATACGGGGGATCTTTGTCTTTGTGGGGAGCAGTCGTGCAGCGGTTAGCGTGCTGTGCTACAAACCCTATGGCCCGAGTTCGATACCTGTTCACGGCCAACACCAGTGACTATTATTTCAACCGGTCCTGGGTCTCCCCTAGGTCGTCTTAGTCTCAGATGATTACCTAGTGTGATATGTAAACATCGCCACTAGGGAGACAAAGGCGGTCGGGCGTGGTGCCGGCCACTCACTCCCCCGTGTGCTGGCCGGCATTCATTGGCGCTCGCTAAAAGCGTTTGCCAAACAGTCTGTTAAAGCTATACGGGGGATCTTTGTGTTTGTGAGTGTGTGCGCACATGTGCACACATGCAATTATTTCATTTCAATGCATAAGGTTGTGTGTTTGTTCTCGAGCACGCAGACACACAAATAGGTGGGAGCAAAGAGATCAACTGACGTGCAACGGGATAGATGGATTGTTTCATTGTGAGACGGTTCAAGTTCCTAGTTGACATTATTGAACCTGCTGAGACCTTCAAGAGACCAGAATGAGTCTCGTTTTGCTACGAATGTCGCACGCGTCACGAAAATGACAAATGCAAAACAAAAGGAATAAAACAAAATAACGCTAAGCAATGAAGATGTGAAAATCAGAACAAAAACAACGGTGCCACATGAGAAATCCAAACTGTCGGACAAATCGACGTTAAATCAAAGATAAATCGAGTGACGGATGGCGAGAGCTTAGGAGACTGTCATTCAGCAGTAGATAGATGGTGGCTGGTGCTGCTGCTGATGATGATGATGATGACGGAGGCACTGTGAGAATGTATAACGGGACGTGGCAACAGCTTCGAGAGGCATTCATCCAGCAGTGAATAGATCAGGGCTGATGATGATAATGGCAGGCACTCTGAGAATGCATAGCAGGGACACCGCGTGCTGTTTACGGTTTGCGCGTACGTCTGCCGGTGCAATGAAGCTAAATCAGCGTGCGGTGCGGTATGCGCATTATTCAAACTTTAGTGACAACCTGATGGGGAAAGAGCTTACGCCGGCTGACATGCCGCTGACAGGGACAGAGACAAACACCTCAAGACATTTACAAGCAGTGACAATAAACATACGAAAACATGTCTGGCATTTACCGTTGCACGGGCAGCTCATGCCTGCAGTCGACAAGAGACTCGCGAGTGGCTGGGGACGGTGGCACGAGATGTGAATTGACGGGTGAACAAGCAAACACAATGGGAAAAGGGGAAAACAAGGGATTACATTTACGTCTGGAATGCTCTTGGGAGGCAGAGCAGTAAGAAGAACATATAATGACAACTGGAAGGATATATACGACACAAGACTGCACAGCAATAAAGCCATTAAAAAGTGAAAATGCAACTAGATTTGCATGCACGCCTTTTGTTCATATTCTAAATGGGGGGGGGGGGGGGATGGTGTTGGGGGTGGGGGGCCGCGGAGAGCACGGCAACAGCTTGGAGCAGCACTCATCCAGCAAGGGATCGATCATGGCTGCTGATGATGAAGTCACCGTGGTGATTTCGATCAGTGGCAAGCAATGATCTGAACTGGTGCTGGCATCAATCTGTAATGTCCAGCACGGTGAAGTATGATCAAGCAACCTACGTGACCGAAATAGCTTGGGAGGGAAGGCCATCACCCATCCAAGAGTGGCTTAACGTAAAGGGCTGTATAAAATCAAGTCGACCGTCTATTTTTTTTTTACGTGATGCGTATAAACCAAAATTGTTTTTCTCAAGGTGCCGCAAACAAAGGATCGCAAAAGATACGATATGTTAATAGGGAAGTCCTTGTGATTTCAAATCGCCTTCCCAAAGGACTGCCCCCTCAATAAAGTGCACCCCTTGTGATTATTACAGCGTCGTTAACAGCTGTGCGCGCCACTGACGGAAAATTAGATAACATATTTGTAATCGTGAACCGCATTGTACACAGACCAAACATACCATTTACATAGCGTAATAGCAATAATAATAATAAAACTTATTCTGCTCTAAGAAGTGCGTGAAGCAGGGGTGGAACGGGGGATGCGCGATTTGCCTTCTTGCTTCCGATGACTCATCGGACATAAAATGTAATTATAATATGGAAATTGTGCCGAGAGAATGAGACAGAAAGGTCTCATGTAAATTTGTCGGTTGAAGGTCATGGCAAGGGAACTGCGAGAGACAGCAGATATTGGCCACTTGCGTTCGGAGATTTCTCTGTAGCCAGGAGGACAGGCGTGGACCCGACAGGCATGCGGGGGATAATGGATCACCGAGATCCCTAGCCCTGTCTTCCTCCTCACTCAAGGCAAAATGAGCTAACCGTGACCGGGCCTACGGTAGAAAAGGCCTGAAAGTAAAGAAGAAAAGAAAAATAAATTATATCCCGGCGCTGCGCGAGAGACATCCGAAAACGACGGTGGACATGGCGTGTGTGGAATTGGTACAACCGTAATTGTGACGCTTTAGACAACATGGCACACGCTGCTGCAGTTCCACGCCTCTTTGTGTCTGATTTATGCGGAAACAACTCTCCATTGACGAGTCTCGTGAACATCATCTAAGGAGCGTCAATTACAAGCGCTGAACACGTGTAATGGTTCCATCGTTTATATACAGCATTTCGTTTTTATTTAAAGTTATATCTTTTTTGGAATACACACGGCCGAGTTGCAGTGTTTCATTTGCGGCGTGGGCTTGGTGATGGCACGGCGGGGTGGGGGGGGGGTCACATGACTTTGCAGATTGGATAGACCGCGCGTGGTTGGAGATGCATTACAAAGTGTTGCATGAAAGGCGCCCGCCGATAAATAGCACGCGTTATTAAAAAGAGACTTACTACAGAGGCAGCGCCCTTTGAGTCATTGTGGCACTCGTAGCTGCGCGGCAGCGGCAGTTTTTGTTTTACTCGCAGTGGTGATTGACATTTGTGTGACCTGAGATTGGAGCGTAAGGCGGCGTTTGAGTTGAGCGTCACGAAAGTTTGCGTCGTTGCTCGTGTCCTAGCTCTGCCGGCGTGTTTCCGGGTTGGACCGCACTGCATGCAGAAATCGGAATCCTTGGGAAAATCTTTAAGCGGTCGTGCCAATGAACGCGCGCGCTGCAGTCCCCTCGAAAACACGTCGGAGAGCTGTACCGCACAACCCGCGGTCGTGTTTCTTGTTTGTAGTTTTTTTACTCTCTCTTTTCTCCCCCTTGCGCTGCACTGATGCCCCCCCACCCCTTTCACCTCCCCTCTCCCGAACGCTGCTCGTAATGAAGAACGCTGTGAGGCACAATCTCAGCCTGCACAAGTGTTTCGTTCGTGTCGAGAACGTAAAAGGAGCCGTCTGGACGGTGGACGAGCTAGAGTTCCAAAAGCGAAGGCCGCAGAAAATCACTGGGTACGTTGGGCTGCTCCAAAAGCCTGCGACGAAAAAGAACGGGAGACGCTAATCCCGTGGAACCGCATCGAGCGGAGTGGATCAACTCCTCGACGCGTCGGCGCGCACGTGCCAGCATCCACCAACGCGCACCTCTGCTGCTTGCTTTCCGTGTTCGGTGTGGCGAGCCGAGTCAGCTTTTGCATGTCCGCCTGCCGCAGCCGCAACAGCTTGTCCCGCGCCGTTACGCTCCCGTGTCCTCGGTAAGCGCCCTCGTGGGTTTAGGCTGAGGAGGCTAAAGACTCCGCTCCGGGTTTTTCCAGATCCCCGTTGATAAATGACCGCGCTTGGATTCGCCGAGTAATTGGAACGCCGGTGACTGTTGTGGCTTCACCAACGTCGGGAGATTTTCTGCAGCTTCCCAGGAGAAACCTGCCTTCTGGAAGGGGGCCCAGCTCCAGTGCTGCATCATCATCATCATCATCGTTCATTACATGATCACTATCATCATTCATTACATGATCACGATTATCATCGTCGTATTATTGTTATCATCATATTTGGAGCGTTCCTTAAAAACAACTATACGTAGAGTCATTGAAAGAATAATTTAAATTGTAACTCGGCGACGTGTCCGGCGATCACCAAAATTACATAATTTTCCAAAGACTTGTCAAGTCCCACTTGGCGATCATCGTCCTCGTCCATCCACTCGTCGCCATCACCATCGTCGTCATCGCGATGCCGTTAAGCTGCGACTGGAAAAGCCCCGAGGTGGACCCCGGCAGTTGCCTTCTCACCCTGGAGCCAGGAGCCGCCGCTGGCTCGATCAGAATGCCCCTCCTGCTTTGGGAACGGTTCCCTCAGATTCTTTTGAGACGCAGGAGCTGGGCAGGATCTCGCAACACCCCCTCCCCTCCCCGTCACCCCGCTGCGCTTTGCTTGGTGCCTGTGCTGGCCGGCGACGCTGCCGCCTCGGCCCCAGCCGTGCGTCGCGACCACCGCTTTCAAGTCAGGCGCGCTTTTGCTTCTGCTCGGGAGAGAGCCCGCACCTTATCAAACCAGATAAGACATTGCCCTGTCAAAACAACTACAGTCCATGCTGGATCATGATAATGTTTCATGAAACGGCGGTGAACTCTGCCATCCAGTGGGGCATTTATGTTGATCGGGTGACGTCCCGGCAGGTTTGACAAGGGACCATTCTGTCTTTGTGCTCTGCCCCAACTGCTTATTTGTGTGCGCATACGCGCGGTTTTTTTTTTCCATCCGCATGTGCCATGCTTGTCAAAACACAACGCACAATTTGTTGTAATGGAATACATTTGCAATGGTAACCTCCGATAATGGCTGAATTTAGATTGCTACCGCTTCAGTGCTTTATTATTTTTTTATAATGCTCTTTGAAATTTCAAAGTATTCTCCTGTACACATTTCCCCAGGTGTGACAAGCTTGGAAAACTACATGCTCGAGATATCATATGTTCTTTGTGTTTTTTTCCTCATGTAATTTTTTATTTACTTTTGCTGTGTGTGTTTTTGTTTTCTGCATGCGCCGCTCAATAAACCCCGCCATTTGCCGGCCGCCATGCCGCTTCCCGATCCGGAACTCCGCGACACGGCACCCCCAAATTCTGCCGCTTTCCGCCCAACCGCATTGCTTCCGCCAATGGCCGCTCGCTTCTGCCCACTGTTTGCCCCCCGCTGCCCCGCCTGACCCCGACGCGGACCCTGGCCGCCGCCGCCGCCGCTCGCGAAGGGCGCGGTGCGCACGAACCTGTCGGTGCACAAGTGCTTTGTGCGCGTGGAGGACCAGTACGGCTCGTTCTGGACCGTGGACGAGTCCGAGTTTCAGCGGGCGCGCCACTGCCAACCCGGCCGACCACGCAAGCTCGGCCAGCTGGCCTCCGACGTGTCCCTCGCAGGGTTCACGCTCCAGTAAGGCGGCGAGGCGGCTGCGGGCGTCGGCGGCCGCCGCGCCGGCCCACCGGCGCGGCCCCCCCCACCTCACTCATGCACCCTCGCTCAGTTCGCTTGCTCGCTTGACTCGCTCGCTTGTCTGCGCGTGCGCATGCATGCTCTGCTCCATCTGCACCGTGGCCTCGCTTCATCCCACTCGTGCGCATTTCCACCCTGTCCGGCTGCAACGCCACCCCTCGCCGCCGATGTTTTTATTAATATGGATGGGAAAATGTCTTTTTCAAATGCACGTTCTAAGTTTGTTGTTAGACGTGAGCTGACGAGGCGGGGAAATGCCCGCAAGGGAGCGGCGCGCCATTCGTGCTTTGCCCTGACCCTGGGGAGGAAGTGAGTTGGCCACTTGCTTTCCTCGAGATGTCCCATCTCGCCTCTCGATGCCACGGCCCTCGCCAGCAGTGGCGAGTGTCCAGGCCTCCGTCACTCGCCGGCACGTTATCATTTGTTGTCGTGCTGTTAAACGGCACGCTTACGTGCGTACACGAGTACCCCCATGTAATTTGCTGGTGCCCCTCGGGCTTGATCAGTCAAGGAAATGTGCCTTTATCTGCAAAAATATCTCTTTTTTGCGACAAGGCAGCTCATTTTAAGTCCAAAAACGGTGGTATTAGCACATTACTCAGCCGCTCTCCCCCCCCTCCCCATAATTGAAGCTCGCTTATATTGCTTCACCCACCGAAAATTTACACCGCTTTTAGAGGCAGTTGCGAACTCTTAAGAGGGAGGCGCGGGAGCTCTGCTTGGACAGATTTTAATATTTATATTTTGTCGGGGGTTAATGTGTGGTAAGCTTTGGTCTACGCTCTTCCCTATTCTGTCAAGTCTCATTAATGGGGCCAATGACAACTGTCTTTCTGATGCTTGCCATATCGCCCTCCCCACCCACCCCTTCCCCTGCCCCCCCCCCCCATCCCCACCGCATCCCGGCCTAATTTCACACCACAGAAGTCCATCGCTGATGAAGAGCATGCAGGCTGGCCTTGGCTTTGGCGCCGCATTGAATGCCAGTTTACAGGTAAGTTAACCCATTGCCCCGCACACACGCTCGCGAGCACCGCTGCAAATCGGCGCCAGCACGCTTCGTAAGACGACCGGCGCGGTAGTCCACCAGAGGCGATGTCGTCGTGAGGGCGCGCGGGCCGAGGCGTCGTTGCGTCGCGCGACGAGACCAACGACTTACGGTGGCGCGGCCCCACGCCAACGTCACCGAAGTGGCCAGATTTCCCGCGCACCTTCTCGGGCGCGTTTGGCAGTCGATTTACGGCGCGAAGCCGATCATTGAGAATGCGACGGGTACGCACGTACGCACGTACGCACGTACGCGCGTGCACATTGGCCACGTGCATATTCCACCAGGTTCATAAAAGAGAGCTCCTCCTCTACCTCATTAATATTAATTACCACTGTCAGGAGTGATTTGGTGTCTCGCGCTTGGCCTTGTGACAGCACCGCAGGCCAGAAATTGCTTCAAAGTTTAACCCTTTTTTCACGTTTGCATTTTTAATGTCGCCGCAAACCCCCCCCCCCCCGCCGCACACGGAGATGCCTTGAAACAGCCGGCAGAATTTACTCACTAAATTTCCCCCCGAATCAATATATTAAATAAAGCTGCCCATTCAAAATGTCCACGCCGATGATAATTCGCATTTCTTATTATAATTTTACGTATATATATACGTAATAGTCCGGGGTGATTATTGTCGGCAAGTTTTCTCGTTTCGTCGGGGTTTTTTTTCGTTTTGTTTTAACACCATGCCCCCGCCCGAGTTAGTGAGTGAAGTCGTCGTGGCCGTCTCTCTCGCTTGCATTCGGGAACACCGTGTCGTCGGGAGGGAGAGACGGTGACAGAGCAGAGTCTGATCTCAGCGGCGCGAGGCAGGGAGGGCGCCGGTAGCCATCGCTAGGGCGCAGGTCGCACCGACACAGACAAATGGAATATTTATGTCCTATGCGAACGTGAGTCTAAACAGGCTCACTGTAATCCATTATCCATTTATATGTTTACGTGCCAGTCGAGTCGTTATTTTTCCAAACTCGGCCAAGGTCGCCCATGGTCAGAGACTGAGGCGAAGGCAAAGATCTGCCGTGGAGCCCGCACGAGCTTTTGGAGCCACATGCTGCTAGCGAGCACACTGCGAAAGGGGGTGGTTGCGACCGGTACCACTGCCCGGCCGCCTTTGTCTCCCCGGTGCTGATTATTTTACACGCCACACCAGAAACGCAAAGAATACGTCCACCATTTTTTTTTTGCACGTGTAGATTTGATCGTGCACAAAATAACACGTATATTTATTTACCTTTGAAAGTCAGTGCAAGAGCACCGACATTAGTAACAAGAGCTTCTCTAGCAATGAAGACACAAGGAGGGGAAAACGGCGCATCAACGTTGTTGGGATGGAACGCGGCTCCTGCGGACAGGTGCCACGGCGTGTGTGTCCAAGCCTCCAGCCGGCACTCAGTGGAAGGTTATGAAAATCACTCTGTCGAGATGTCGTCGGGCCAAAGGACAGGTGACGTAGCCAGAACACGACAGTCGAGCGATGTTATTTTTTTTATTTTACTTTAAATAAAGAAGAGGGAAAGCTCTCCCTCCTCTGACACAAAGCATCTTCCCGGCCAAATTCGTCCTGACGTTTTTTTCTTTCTTTCTCCCTCCCCTAAAGCGTTTGAACACACTAAACAGCGACTGCTTGCCTCAGCGGGAAAGCCGCAGAGCCCGCGCGGTTGTATTTTTTTGCTTTGCGCCAGCTCTGCAGGTCCCGCGCATAAATGCATTCGCCACCCATTTGTCTGAATTAGGCAAATCATGTGCGTCACGCGAGCACTTAGGCTGGAGCGCATTTGCCTGATTCGTCCCTCGCCTGCCTTTTTTAAAAAATCTTTTTTTCTTTTTTTTACACCCAGGATAAAAGTGTACATTTCAGACCAAATGACGCCGCCGTTTTAATAAAATGTCGCAACTTCCCTTTAAGCCGGGGCAAAAAAACGGTCGGTGCCGCCCATGCAGGATGGCGTGGTGGAAGAGGGTCAAAAGTCGTCAAAGTGATCTTCCTGCTCAAGTGAGCGCAGACAGTGGTGGAAATTACACATTCCTATGGCAGGGACGAGTCTCTCCGTTAGGATAACCACTGTTGATTTCCTCATGAAGTGCACTTTTTTTTACCACAGAGATTAGCAAGATTTGTTTTTGCATAACTTGAATAAAAGTCTGAGAAGCGCCAGTGTTTTAAGTGATCGTAGTTCAGGAATTATTTCACGTATATATTTTCACGAGGTAGCATTTTAGTCGCCGCTTTAATTGATTAATTGGCTCTTTCCCGTCTTTGTGACCTTTGCTGAAAAATATACGGAACGGCTTTTATTTAAATCAGCGTAAGAGCTGAATGAACGCTTTAGTGTTTTATAACTTTAATTCAATTTCGCTTGCCATTGTGCATCTTCAGCAGATAGATGGAAAGGGGCATTTTAATATCGATGTAATTCACGTCACTTTAAGCTATTAAGCCGAGTTGAAGTTTCGTAGACAAAGTGGGACTGGGAATATTTTAATTCCTGCGCGTCTCCCGCGCGCCACACGCCCGTCCTTGCGAGCGTCTTAATTGTGTGCGCCCGGTGTGTTTATTGTCGACATTGCCACGACGAGTGTCTTCACCGCCGCCGCACGGGCGTGGCCGCCGGTAACCGTGGCCACGCGAGCCACCGCCCCCGGCGGGCGGGGTGGGCGCGTGAGTGCGTCCGTCCGCGGCTCTTCTCCCCATCATCGTGCAAGAGCGCTAACGCCGACACCCCTCCTCCTCCGCCCCCCGCTGCCCATCCGGCCCATCTCCCGCCGCCACCGCGGACCGCAAAATGTGTCCGCGTTAGAACCACGGCGGACTGGCAGGCCCGGCTTGATGGCCCTAATCGGAGCTGACAGGCGCTGTGAAAGCATTTTTTGTTTACATCGGCAGAGCGACGAGACGCGTGGAGGAGGAGCCCTGGCAGGCCGGCGTGTCCGTTCGGCCTCGTTAACATTCGCCTGTTTTCTGCTCTCATTGCTCTAATGGTCACGCCGCGTCAGGCTTTCTCAAACGCTGCACGGCAATCAAGCCGCGTGCGGCGTGTGCGTGCGCGTATGCACGCGCACGCACGCGCCCACGCGCGCCCCCGCATATATTTACAGCAAATTTTTGGGGGGTGTCTGGCTTCGGATTGCCGTTAAAATATGCATGCACGTATATACGTACGTGTCACTCTCTGCGCGTGTGCGTGCGTGTACTTGCGCGTGCGGACGTGCGTATGAACAGTGTGCCGGGGCTCTATTTATACGTCGTGGCGGGTTTGAAAAGGGCACGAGTCCCCGCTCACTGTTCCATCATTACCATTTCGGGGAGGCCGGGGTGACACGTTACGTTACCATTTAATTGGACGCCTTTGCGCATTTCTACTGTCTTCGGCCGGAAACAGGCTTTTTCGTTAGGCGGCTGTTCAGGTAGCTCACGTCACTCGCCCCGTGCCTCTCTACCCGCGTGCTCACCTGGAGCAGTGCAAGTGCCAACTTCGCCGTGGTCAGTTTCAGGAAAAAGAACGTTGGGACGAGGTGTAACACAAGAAATGTCCCCTTGGAATCCCCGGCCAGGTCGTCCACCGGCCTTCGCTCGGCGCCGGCTGCCTCTAACGTTGTTCCAGCTTCTTGGCTCGGCTCACGCTGTGCATGGAGAATTTCCCCCATTGTATGACGTTGCTCACTATCCGGTCCCCCTTGCATGCCAAGACTCGTGTTGTGGACAGGCTCTTCCTGTGAAGTGCCTGGAAAGTTCACATCAAGAGAACGAGGCCGTAACGCTTCCTCCGGAGGGGGGCGCGCTGCAAGAGCTAGCCTGGCTGCCGAGCTGAATTATTTCCCCCGATTTTCGTACCGTCATTTCGAGTCGGGGAGGTTTGTCAATATTTAGTTTGGTATTTAAAAAAAAATTGGGGAGGGCGGTAGAGTGCGGACTTGTACTTACTCACGTGCCTGTAAATGGTTAAGACTGCATGTTTGTGAATCAAGGATAGGTGGGCACATGCTGCTTTAACGGTTCAACCTCTGTGTGTTTGTGCACGTGTGGTGCCACGTGTGTTTGCACGTTCATATCTGAGTGTGAATATTTTTCCGTGTTTTCTTACACGAGCTTCTGTGTGCCAGGCGTGTGTCTGCAGCGAGTGAGTTTGTGTTGCAGGACAACCCCCACTCGCCCCCATCCACATCGCGATTTGATGGAATGTCACAATTCAGAGTGCTGATTCGATTCATAACTCAATTCTCGATTTTTTTGATGCCGGTGAACTTAGCGACCGCTCGTGACTGCAGGGGTCCCATAGACTCGTCGCAGCATACAACACGTACCAATAGAATAAGTAAAATCCTGTCATACATGGCCCAATGCGTGTATCGTGATATCAGTCGTTTCATCGATGCATCGTTACGCCCCGAGCAAATACATTTGTGCCCACGATTACCTGTGGGCACATCCTTCAGGGTGTAAATCAAACGTGCATGGTGTTTGTATGGAGAAGTGATGGCATAGCAGCTTAAACACCTGCCATACAAACCCAGCCATGGCTAACATAAGTGTCAAGTCACGTCAGAACTTGTCCTGGGCCTTACCTCGGTCAACTCGATCATAAATGACTACCTGGTGGTGTAAGTTGTCATCAACACTTGGAACACAAAAGTGGCCGGGCGTGGTGCTGGCAGAATCACCTCCTTAATGCGCTGCGTTAGCCTTAATAGGCGTTTTCCAACAACACTTGCCCCAACCGTCTGTTAAAAGCTACGCTAGGAGTAGCGGAGAGGGGGGATCTTTCTCTATAGGATACGTACTCGAGTGTACGTAGGTATGTTGAACTTCTTTCGCACCGTACGTAGCCAACCGCGCTAATCGGAAGTGCAGAATGCTCACTGGAGTAGTATTTGGCGGACACGCTGGGCTGTGATCCCGCCAGGTTCCAGTGCCAGCCGCGTGCCATGACCGGCAAACCTTTAATCGCTGCGCGTGTGCGTGGGCTCGTGTGTGCGCTTGTGCTTGGCAGGCGGCGCTTGCAGAGAGCAGCCTGTCGTTCCTGGCGCCCGGTCTCGCTAACCCGGCCGCCGTAGCCATGCTCAACGCCGTGCAGGACGAGCTCAACGGCTCCATGGAGCACTTCAATGGCAGCAGCCGTGGAGCCAGCCCCGTCCGGTCGCCCATGCGGTGAGTTTATTGACGCTCAACTCTGTAATTTGTTATTTAGCCAGGTGAGGCCCACTGAGCTATGTGCAGCTCTTTTTTCAGAAGCGACCTGGCCACAGAATGATTGCTCCAAGAAGTGGCTTAACCTGTGGAAATTTCTCGCGGCCAAATAAATCTAAAGGCATGTTTAAAAATGTGGGAGGAAAAGCACGAGGACCCGGAAAAAAATCCATGCGACCACGGGGAGAACGTGCAAACTGCAAATATACAGGTGTCAGGGTCGGGATCGAACCAATAAGCTCCTATATACCAGGCGAGGACGTTAATATCTCGCCACCTTGGCGCCCCACATAGTAGGCTTTTACAACCAATATTATACGCATAAATATAAATGTGTCGTGAAACCCGCCACCACCCAACACAGCCAATTAGTAACGTTTCTCACGTGAGCAAAACGTGCCAGTGAGTTACTAGTTCAGCACACCGGTGTGTTGGAGAGTAAACCCACAATTGTAAATGTTGTACTCGAATTGTAAACGCTGTGTGCTGAAGGAGTGGCACGTTTCTTCTTTCATGACAAAACCTTACTAATTGCCTGCGTCGGGTGGTGGCGGGTTGCACGACACATTTTATTTTTACGCGATCTAACCCAACGAAAACCTTTATTGTGGATGCAGTGAGTGCCTCCTCACCCTCCTCCGCTACGGACTCTTGCTTGTCGTCTCGCCACGGAGAGCCTCGCCGAGTGCCGAGCATGTTTGTTTTCAGGAGGATTCCCATGAAATGGACTTGCTGCTCCCTACATTCAAGACCTCCTTTAGCCATATGTTCCATCAAGATCATTAAGATCTTGATTTAAAGCTTTCGTGACTTCAGGGATTCATATTCTTGGTTCTTTCGGTAAAGTTACGTAGAAGGGAAACAATAAAATAATAAAAAATATAAAACAATATTATTTTATTGTTTCCCTTCTATGTGACTTTACCGAAAGAACCAAGAATATGATTAAGATCTTCAGGTTGTGCATCGCTGACCGTCCCACGGTCTCTCGGCTTCACACTTGGTGGGGGGTGGGGGTGACGGTGCCTTTGCAGTTGCGGCACCTAAAATCTGGAACTCCTTGCCCCTTCGAGGTCACGACTTCCGAGACACTTTACAAATCTTCAGATCTCGACTGAAAACATATCTGTTTAAAATCGTTTCCTCTGTACTCTTTGGTTCTTTCGCTAAAGTCACGTAGGTAGAAATTAAACAAAATAACTTATATAAACTCTTGCTGGTACAGTGAGGGAAAAAAAAGTATTTGATCCCCTGCTGATTTTATACGTTTGCCCACTGACAAAGAAATGATCAGTCTATAATTTTAATGGTAGGCTTATTTGAACAGTGAGAGACAGAATGACAACAAAAAAAATCCAGAAAAACGCATGTCAAAAATGTTATAAATTGTTTTGCATTTTAATGAGGGAAATAAGTATTTGACCCCTCTGCAAAACATGACTTAGTACTTAGTGGCAAAACCCTTGTTGGCAATCACAGAGGTCAGACGTTTCTTGCAGTTGGCCATCAGGTTTGCACACATCTCAGGAGGGATTTTGTCCCACTCCTCTTTGCAGATCTTCTCCAAGTAATTCAGGTTTCGAGGCTGACGTTTGGCAACTCGAACCTTCAGCTCCCTCCACAGATTTTCTATGGGATTAAGGTCTGGAGACTGGCTAGGCCACTCCAGGACCTTAATGTGCTTCTTCTTGAGCCACTTCTTTGTTGCCTTGGCCGTGTGTTTTGGGTCATTGTCATGCTGGAATACTCATCCACGACCCATTTTCAATGCCCTGGCTGAGGGAAGGAGGTTCTCACCCAAGATTTGACGGTACATGACCCCGTCCATCGTCCCTTTGATGCGGTGAAGTTGTCCTGTCCCCTTAACAGAAAAACACCCCCAAAGCATAATGTTTCCACCTCCATGTTTGACGGTGGGGATGGTGTTCTTGGGGTCATAGGCAAAGAGTTCCATTTTGGTCTCATCTGACCACAACACTTTCACCCAGTTGTCCTCTGAATCATTCAGATGTTCATTGGCAAACTTCAGACGGGCATGTATATGTGCTTTCTTGAGCAGAGGGACCTTGCGGGCGCTGCAGAATTTCAGTCCTTCACGGCGTAGTGTGTTACCAATTGTTTTCTTGGTGACTATGGTCCCAGCTGCCTTGAGATCATTGACAAGATCCTCCCGTGTAGTTCTGGGCTGATTCCTCACCGTTCTCATGATCATTGCAACTCCACGAGGTGAGATCTTGCATGGAGTCCCAGGCCGAGGGAGATTGACAGTTATTTTGTGTTTCTTCCATTTGCGAATAATCGCACCAACTCTTGTCACCTTCTCACCAAGCTGCTTGGCAATGGTCTTGTAGCCCATTCCAGCCTTGTGTAGGTCTACAATCTTGTCCCTGACATCCTTGGAGAGCTCTTTGGTCTTGGCCATGGTGGAGAGTTTGGAATCTGATTGATTGATTGCTTCTGTGGACAGGTGTCTTTTATACAGGTAACAAGCTGAGATTAGGAGCACTCCCTTTAAGAGTGTGCTCCTAACTCCCTTTAAGAGTGTGCTCCTAATCTCAGCTCGTTACCTGTATAAAAGACACCTGGGAGCCAGAAATCTTTCTGATTGAGAGGGGGTCAAATATTTATTTCCCTCATTAAAATGCAAATCAATTTATAACATTTTTGACATGCGTTTCTTCTGGATTTTTTTGGTTGTTATTCTGTCTCTCACTGTTCAAATAAACCTACCATTAAAATTATAGACTGATCATGTCTTTGTCAGTGGGCAAACGTACAAAATCAGCAGGGAATCAAATACTTTTTTTCCCTCACTGTAACAGCTTCTCTTCAAAAGGCAGCAGACATCGTGCTGCTTGCAGCAGACATCGCGGCTGTCGCGATTTTCACCTGAAGACGATGGCTTGTGTTGCTATCGAAACGTCGTGATTTATTTTGTGAACCAAAAAGTACGGATTCCTGCAGTCACGACGGCTTCAAATCAATCGTTTTCTCTCTTTAGTTATTTTCAAACATATTTCTCACTTCTACTTTACTTGGTTGTTGTTAACTATGTTCTGCCTCTCCATGCTGTGTGCCCTGACAACGATTGCTCATAGGCACTTCATGAATTTAAATGATCATTACCGGAAACTGCGGCGGGATAAAGGTTAGCACGCCGAACTTGCCATCCGGAGATCACTGGTTCCATTTACATCTCCCGGCGTGGCCTTCAAAAACAACGGGCAGGTTCATTACATTCCGCCACGCCTCTGTTCACCGAGCAGTATAAATGGGGCACAGTTAAGTCGATCGGCAGGTCTGCGTGCGGTAGGGTAAAGTGTGGGTGCTCTCACCTTCTCCAGAATTTCTGCCCAGAATGGAAGAGTAGGCCAAATACTCTCTAGCGGGGCTCTCTTAAAGCTCCCTCTCATGAGAGACTCTTCCTCCAGCAGTGGCATGAACAATACATTGCAGGGCTGCACCGTTACCTTTTTTGAGCTACCTGCCACCACATTGGGTTACTTAGCCATTTGTGGTCATAATTTGGCTCCATTTGGGAGGATATGGGAGATCTCGGAAAATAAATAAAAAACTCCACACAATTGAGGAGATAAACATCCATAGCTGCGCACAGATTGATTCAATAATCCATATTTGTCTGGCCAATCCAGCCACCTCATGATCTATCCACTGCTAGGTAAAGGCCCCCCCTAAGTCATCGCCATCTCTCACAGTCCCACGATGTAACAATCCACATAGCTCCTGCACATTGGGCTCATTTCATAGCTCCGTCTCCGCGGTGTGGACGTGCTCCCGGGTGCGTTCTCTTCACCGGCTGCCACTCCATCGTTAGTCTCCGGCACCGGGTCATCATCCCTTCGAGAGAAGTGTCCGTTCTGTCCGAGCTGCTCGTATTTTTCAACCCAGGCCCATGACGCTTGAGATATTCCCTCGGTGCTCAAAACGAGCATCATTTGTGGCGCCGGGGCAATCTCCCGCATGCGCCGCGCTGGCGGGGAAGGCAGCGCTGGCGGGGAAGGCAGCGCTGCCGTGTGGGGGGCATTGATCTCACGCGAACGCCGGAAGAAATGCGGCTCGGTGATTCGCGCATAATACGAGGTCAACGCGCGGCGTATTCTGCAAAGGGGGTTCGGGCGCAGAATTTAGAGTGACGAGTCACCGTGCCGATGATTTACGTGAGAAGAAATAAAAAAATAACTCGGAAGTTACGATTTTTTTTCATCCGTGGCCCAAAAGCAGGTGCTAAGAAATGCAATATATATTTAAAAAAAATATGCACAAAACAAGAAAGGGGGGGCGAATAAAAGAAACAATTCAAAAGATATGAGTTTATTATAAACCCGGAGTGTGTTTTTAGGCGTAATTTGAAGCACATGCAGTTTAGTTTATGACTCGTTACAAGCTCGGTCTAAGTAACAAATCACCCCGCTGTGTGGGAGGCCAAATCACCGAGGGATTCACCTTTGTTTTCGCTGTTAAATGCCAAGTGCCAAGCGAGGCTCGGTTGAAACACAAGTAATTAATTGCCTGGGTAAGCACCGCCAGCGAGCCAGCGTTAAATTGTGATTTCTTCCATTTGCAGCTTGGGCCATCGGTACCGGGTGAACTGTGTTCGTTATTAAGTAGGGTTGGGGTGGGGAAGAGTGGAGGGAGGGGTTTAGTACAATCGCAAGTGGCACACGAGCGAGCGCACGGTGCGGTGTGTCTGCGCGCAACAAAATAAACATCGCCCGCATCGCCCCGCGCCCATTGATCAAACCGCCTGGACCACGAAACCCAAACAACTTCATGATACCTAGCGGGGAAGAAATTACTCGGCGCCTCCAAAAAATAAAAAAGGAAAGCCAGCAGGCAAACACAAAAAAATTAGCGACACAATTAGGAGCGCTAATTGCTTGGCTAATTACTAAAGCACAATAGAGACCTCGACGCCTTTCCCCCACTCCCTCCTCTCCTTG